GTGTCCATTCCTTGAGGCCCATGACAACGGTGTCCAGCCAGTTTCACTGGTCGAATCCACCGCAGCACCCATCTCAATTAGGAGTCGAACCACAGCCTCGTGTCCGTACTCTGAGGCCCATGATAGCGATGCCCAACCATTATCAGTCGAATCCACTGTAGCACCATTCTCAATTAGAAGTCGGACCACAGCCTCGTGTCCGTTCCTTGAGGCCCATGACAACGGTGTCCAGCCATTCTCGTTAGTCGAGTTCACTGCCGCACCATTCTCAATTAGGAGTCGAACCACAGCCTCGTGTCCATTCCTTGAGGCCCATGACAACGGTGTCCAGCCAGTTTCATTAGTCGAATCCACCGCAGCACCATTCTCAATCAGGAGTCGAACCACGGCATCGTGTCCCTTCTCTGAGGCCCATGACAGCGATGTCCAGCCATTCTCGTCAGTCGAGTTCACTGCAGCGTCCTTCTCAGTTAGGAGTCGAACCACGGCCTCGTGTCCGTTCATTGAAGCCCATGACAGCGGCGTCCCACCAGAATTATCAGTCGAGTTCACCACAGCGCCCTTCTCGATTAGGAGTCGAACCATGGCCTCGTGTCCGTTCATTGAAGCCCATAAAAGCGGTGTCCAGCCATCCTTGTCAGTCGAGTCCGCCGCAGCACCCTTCTCAATCAGAAGTCGAGTCACGGTCTCGTGTCCGTTCTCTGAGGCCCATGACAGCGGTGTCCGGCCATATGAACTCTTACAGTCTGGACCATGTCCATCTTCCAACAACATGGCCACAACCTCTCCTAGCCCGAACCATGCTCCAAGATGTACTCCCGTTACCTCTCTGGGAACCATTTGACTGTAGTCCGCATATCTCTTTTCAGGATCAACCATTAGAGCTTGGCTAGAAGCGGACACTTTGTGTTCATTTTCAAGGAAATCAACCTTTCGGTATCGGTCGTCTGACTCGCGGAGATGATGTCCCCAGTTCCGTGCTGCATAATCGTACAGGGGATCGGTTTGTAGTCGAGCCTCAAACTCTTCATTCGATCGACAGAATCCAGACTCATATTTCTCGAACGATAGATAGCTGATGCAGACATTTGCAATATCTGCCTCTGCTTTTGGAAACCAATCTTTCTGTGTTCGCTCAAAGAATTCTTGCGTCGTATAATGAACCAGCCGAATAATGTTGCTCTCTGCATCGACCGTGACCAACCCAGCGCAAACTGAAATCATATCTCCGATGTCAGGAAGATTGTCATCATCAAATTCTGGCTCGCCCACTTCGACAGCCAATGCATGTCGAAGCTCCAACGTCGTCAGTGGCCTCTTAGCACAAGTAATCCACGCCAGAACCTGCTTGGCGAGGATCTCAGAATCCGTAGCCTGACCCGCAATCCTTTCCATAGCTTCGCGATACGCCTGGTCGTAGGCGTTGGATCCTTTTGGTAGCATTTTTAATGAGTCTCTGATAGCCTTAGGCGATCGTTTACCGATCAAGGAATCAAGGTGCAGTTGTACCAGAAGAAACCTGATCGTGTAAGTCGTGGCGATCGTGGTCGCAATATGCAAGATACCTACATTCCATCCGCAGCTTTGACAATTGTCGTTTTGATTTCTTCCTGCAAATCTGCCTTACTAGAGACAAATGATGGCAGCTTCGGCATGTGTCCCTCAAGGTATCTTCGTAGATCTTCGTCACTTGCACGGATTTCCAATTTCGTACTCCTACCATCGAATTCTCGCTCAATCTCAGGGTTGACCCTTGAAGTGACGAAGAGATTAATCGCCGTCTTGTCTTGCAAATCGAACAACTCCCTTAAAAGCTGTCTCCGCCCTCCATTCGCCGCTTGACATTCGTCCAAAGCATCGACAATAATGAATGTTCTTGAATAATCACGGACAGTTGAGTGCAGTGCTTTCGAGATCTCGTCGATTGAAGGCCGTGTTCGTTTCTGTTGATGCTTCTTATGAAACTGTTTTAGGCTTTGAGGTACAGATGGCTGTCCCTGGATCAACTGTTGAAGCAGACTGGCAAGTAGATCAATGGGCTTTTGTTCGAATTGCCTTCGAAAGTTGCAATAGATATACGCAATTCCAACGTTGTCATTTGGGAATATCGTAGAAAAAAGTGTGTCGATAACAATGGCCGTGCAGATTGTTTTGCCAGCTCCGGGAATACCTGGGCAGAACAATGTCTGATTGCTCTGATCCACCCAATCTCGAAATTGCTTTGAAGTCAGCAGCCATTGCCCCGTTCCTTCCTGTCGTCTACTAAAGAAATCGCTTTGTTGTGGCGCATAGTCAATGGATGTGAGCCAAGTTAGCATCTCCTTATCGGCTTCGGCGTAGTGCCACTTCTGTTGCTCTTTTCGTGCCTCTTGATGTTCCTTTCTTGATTCCTTGACCGCTGTATACGTTGCTGCTCCCAAGACAGCGGTGTCAATCGACACTACGTTGTTCAGTTCTTGACACCAGCGGTAGAGGTTCTCCACCGATTTTCGAGTGTTCTTCGCCAAGAAAGCGCCTTTTAGCCGTTCCCACCCAACTCGATATCCTTTTGCTCTCTTTTTCAGCTCATCTAGCAGATCCCTAAGTTCCTTCTCGCATGTTTGAAATAGGAGCTTCGTATCGGATGTGGGAGAAACGCTAGGCCCAAGTTGGGAGAGGAGGAGCGACGACCGGCTCTGAAAGGCTTCGGCAAAGTCGGGATTAAGGATGAGGTTATTGCTTGCTGACAAGACAGTGTTCAGGGTTTGGAGCTCGGCCATGAAGGTCTTGACATCGTGCGGTGCATCTTTCCAGTCCAACCCAAACTGCATCACCACCTGTGTGATCTGGATCGCGAGGCTGATCACGCCGACGATACTGGAGCCGATGCTAAATGGATCGGCCATGGAAAGATTCAGTCACATACGCTGACCTTTGGCGACATTATTAGCCTTTCCAATAGAAATGAGGAATGCTCTCACCGGTGAGCGCTGAGTCTCAATTACTCATTGATAATCTCAAGGGCTGGGTGGTCATATTCGAAGTTGACTTTTAGTGAGAGTATCTACCCAAAGAAAAAATTATCGTCGCATTTGAATGTCGTATTCACGGTTTAAGGCCGGTAGAAAGTTGGAACGTCCTTTCATCGAGTTTGATAACATTGCTGCCTTCAGCCTCACAGTCGCGTTGTGGTAGAATGCGCCTGCAAGGCGTATTGTCCTGGATCCACCGCGTCGACTTCGTGAGCCAATAAAAAGTTGACTTCATCCCAGCGTCTGTATTCGAATGCGCAACTGCGGCCAAACGGAAAATATTGGAAATTCGTCCGATATTAAGTGACTCGGTCTGGAGAAATATTTGCAAAGACCAAAAGCGAACAAACTGAGTGAGATTGATGACCCGCCCACCACTCCACCCTAGAAACGTTCCGTTCCGTTAAGCCCATTGAGAGCACGTGACCTAAGGCCAAGCTGTCTGGGCGTATAGGATTTGACGATATCATGACAAAACTAGGCTCGCCGACCATTCGTGGTAGACATTGCGCTGCTTGGTTGGGGTTCGGGAAAGCGTGGCACCAACATCCTTAGTCTTGGATGGAAGAAAAGTTACAATGTGAGTTCGCCGGTTTCGAGGACTTTTCACAACTGCATTGAAGATGCCTCCATGGTTGGCGGATACACTGGCTAGGGCGCCACAATGCGACTTTTATTGGGCGGGGAAAGTCTTCCGCATTTCCGCGGATAACCTAAGTACACGACACATGATACAAGGGTTGTTTCCACATGCGGCCATTTGCATTCAGCTAGTTGTTCAGTAGGTGTGAGAGACGTTCGCTCTTTCAATCCCAGTATTCTCCCAAAGCAGGCTTCTGGACGCATATTGCAACAGGACAATGATCAGACCGAATAATGGACATGGCTTCTGCACAAGGCGACGATGTTCAATTAGTACTATCATCCCCCCAGTATTATTTGATGGACGTATTCCCTAACTCGAGTTATAGGCACCGGAGGAAATAGAGGCCGGACTTCCAACGGATGAACAGGATTCCACGTTGGGAGATGACACGTAAGTGAAAGTTGAAGGCGAAAGATACAGCCGATGATATGGCCACCAACGGCTGATAAGTCCTCTCCAGACAAACAGAAACAACCACACTTGCTAGTACTATCCTTCGACACCGCGAAGAAAATGGACGCACATATCACAAGTTCCGGAGCGGTGAGAATGACTACTGGGGCCCAAATGATGAGCGGCAGAACGCGCAGCTGGATCTGGGCCATCATATGCTGACCCGACTCCTCGATAACAAATTACACTTGGCCCCCATTGGTGAGCAATGTCACAGGGTGATAGATCTAGGATGTGGAACCGGCATCTGGACCTTGGACTTTGCAGACGCGCACCCGAGCGCAGAGGTATTGGGAGTCGACCTGAGCCCTATTCAGCCGGCTTGGGTGTCACCTAATTGTCGGTTCCTGGTCGACGATTGCACGAGCGAGTGGCCTTACCCTACCGACTACTTTGACTTTGTTCATATTCGGTGCTTATACGGCAGTGTATCAGACTGGCCCGCTTTGTATCGTCAAATTTACAACCACACTAAGCCCGCCGGGTTTATTGAGCAAATGGAAATGTCCATTGAGTTTACCAGCGACGATGGAACGATCGATGATGATCATATCATGGCCGAGTGGTCGAGAATATTCATCGAGGCAGGGGATAAAATGGGAAAGACTATGAAAATCGCTGATCAAGCGGCCGCATTAATTAGAGAAGCAGGGTTTACAGACGTGATGGAGAAATGGTACAAAGTCCCCGTTGGTTCGTGGCCAAAAGATGAAAAATTAAAGGAGATCGGCCTATACAACTATCGCTACTGCTGCGAGGGTTTTGAGGGGTGGGCCATGTATTTGCTCACGCGAGTCATGAATTGGAGTGCTCCTGAAGTCCAAATTCTCGTGTCAAAGATGAAATCGGCACTCAATAATAGGAAAACCCATGGTTATTACCGCGTGTAAGTTCCCCAAACCTTCGTCTCGAATTGTACGGATTGATACAACTGCTAGTGTTGTCGTCTATGGAAAGAAACCCGCGCTGTGATACAATCACAGAAGGATGAACCTTTTTGATCTTCAAAGACTCCAGCTTTTACGATGTTACGTCTTCTATCGAACCGGGTTAATTACCATGGAAACCTGTGGGAGGATAGAGAGCCGAGGAAGTATGGGGCTACTCTTGGTTCCCACTACTTTGTCAGGACGGTCATGAACAGATTGCTAGCTCAGCCGAAGGCAAGGAGGGTCGTGACACGATATTGGAGTTTCAGTACACACGGTGAGCAATGGAGACACTTTGGCCCCCAGCAGTTTCAGTTGTTTCTACACGCTTTTGGGCAAGAAGACGTCTGTATACCCACAGAACTCATTGTCCCGGGAGAAAATTGTGTGTGAGATTCAATTTTACGTCTGACCCAGCCGCATGTTGCAGCTATATAGACGATGTGCTATCGACTGTGTTTACAGCTTTCTCTTGGTCGTGCTGGATAGCAAGGGTCCTCATGTGTTCCCCTGGCTCCTCTATGGACATAGTACCCAAAGAACTCAGTGCACTATTCATTGTATCTTGTTCTCCTTTACTGCTCCAAATTGCTCCAGGAGTCTCGTTGCAATCATAAATCTGGGTTGGTTGAGTATCTCTTCAGGTCCATGGTCGGCCTTCGTCCGTCATCCGTCTCCTATGTCTCTCTTCTCAGATCATGATGGCTGCGCCAAGTTAGCAGAGAATGTCGTACTGTTTGCTCCCCCGCCACATCCGCATGCGTGTCTGTGAAGCAAGAAATATCGGAGCCCTATTTTCTCCATCTACAGCTGGATCAAGACGGAACTCAATGATTTGTCCGTGTAGGTGCGGGGGTTAGGCGGTGCATGATGCAACCTCGGATTTGGTTTCTTCACTCATTTGCACATTCTTCCTGGTAGAATTGCTTTATGCATCTCTTTAGAGTGGATTGAAGATATTTTAAGAAGTAGGATCTGGTGGTTACCTGGTCTGTATCCTTCTCAATGGTCGCCCTCTTCGGTCCCATGTATGTCTCCATCCAATTGCTTCTTTCGCCAGTGGGCCCGTAAGTTCGTTCCCTTTAGTTCCCCCATGGGCTGGGATCCAATGCGATTCCACACGAATGTTTCGCGATGCCGTCACACTAAATGCTTGGACAATCTGTTTGATGATGTGCGGGCCTGATCTTCGCTTGGGAGCTCTTATGGCTCTGAGAGCTGCTTGGTCGTCGGTAAAGACTGCAACCTTGGCGTAGTTTGCAGCTAGAGCAAGATCGAATCCCATCCAAATACCGATTAGGTCAGCTGTATAGACTGTCGCCGTGGTTTCTCTGCCTAGGTAAGCTGTTTGTCGCATGTCGATGTTTGGTGCCACCGCGGCAGCTCCGACCTTCCCGTTGATGCCGCTTCTAGCTGTAAAGATGGCTTAGTCCGCTGGTGGTGAACTCATGTCGTGTTTCGGCCGCCTCGAGACCCTCAATGAAAATGTCGGGGTGGCGTCCACCATGGTTCCACTGTAAAAGCCCCTCGGATTTCCAGGTTGTCGTACGTTTCGCCACCTAGCTTCTTCAGACTCCCGTCAAGACGTGTGAGGGGTGGGAAGTGTTTGTCTTGGGCTGAGCGGGTATGTTCCGGGCGCTTTTTGGATGCTGATTACTGATTCGTGTGCTCTTCTCTCTAGCTGACCGTGTAGGGATAAGAGGTACGCCTCGATATCCAAATCTGGCGCTGATGTCGTTCGATAAGCACCTGAGATGATTCTGGCCGCCTTAAGCTGGATCTTGTCATTATTCTTTGTACCGTAATCTTGTATTCTTTTTCTTCATATAGAATTAGAACCCTAGATTCTAGACCATCGTTCCGCTTCGCTGTGTATTCGTGTTAGCTTTCGACAATTAGCTTCAGTCGATCCGCTGTGTACCGTTAGATCACACTAGGAATCCAGCAGATCGCTCATTTCGCGGTGGAGAAGGGAGGAAAGGCACGGCCAAGTCACTCGTTACGATCCGTCGGGGTATTTGGAAGCGGTGCAGAGGTCTCTCAAGAGGGATAGGCGAGGGAACCGTCTCATTCGATGGACGGACGAAGAATCCGGCCGCCTTCATGCTATGGCGATAGGAGGCATTTCGCCGTCGTTGAGGAGCAAACAGGGACGTCGAGCGTAAGGACTGGTGATGTAAATAGGACATTTGGTTGGCTCACGCAGAGATCGGGCCATTGGCGTAATCATCGTGAGCGACATCGGCGAGGGTATGAAGTGACTAGGCTAAACCCAATGGGAAATGCCAACATGTTATTGCAGAGGGGATAACAAATATTGTGAAAAAATTGAGTGACGTTAGAAAAATCCCATCTGACTCCCTGGAAAGCACCCTAAAAGGAGCGATTTTACTCCAAAAGATGTGGTGGTGTGCTAGTATCGCCCTGTGGAGGTCGAACTCTCTTTTCAAAGGCCCAAAGTCCGCTCCAAAACCAATGTTGGGCCTATAAGACCCGTAGGCTGCTTGGTGCAGGAGCGATACATGCATACACAGCTCCGCAACGGAATACTAAGTTCGAGCTTGTACTACGGATTTGAACGAAGTATACGCGGGGCTTCTGTTTTGACGTTCGGAGCTGCCATTCATCTGCCCTGGAAACTCTTGCTACAATGGAGTATAGCTATGGCGTCTCTCGCTGATATTTGCCTCAAGTTATCAAACACTCACTCCCCAGAGGCGCCACACACTTTCTCAACCACTTTCACCTTTTCTCTGACGTCGGAATCGGCTGCCCCTCAAACGCCCTGAATCCCTCCGGAATGGGCACTACTGCCGGATCCTGCAACTGCTTCCAATCGAACCCAACGAGCCTAGCCGCAGAGATGCTGACCCAGTCTTTCCCCTTGTTGGCACCGGTGTGTGCTATACGATTCCCGCAGCCCCTGCAGAAATGGCCTGTCAGCTCGTTCCCGCTGTCTGAGGATTGCGGAACCTGAGATAGATGGGGTTGAGCGGGTGTTGGTGGGAACTCGAAGCCGGGAAAAACGGCGGCAATACCGAATGCAGAGCCGGTAATCAGTTTGCATTTGTTGCAGTGGCAGATTGCTAAGGCGATGGGTTTCGGGTGGGGGATGTTGAAGTGTACAAGATGGCATTGACAGCGGGCTTCCATTGTTGGGAAGAGGTTGGCTGGTTCGACAGGATATGTATTACACGAAGATAAAAATATCTTCAAAATGGTGAGACGTAGCTATATCGGAAGCCGAAAAGTTCTAGGCGGTACAAATTACCTCGCCGAGGTCGCGAAGTTGTGTAGTTACGAGGTGGTCAGGCGTCCAATGACCACTATATTCGGGGTCAAAGTGGGGATAGGCTTGCATGGTTCTGGGCTGCCTTCAGTTCACACGTGTGGAGGTACGGTAGGACTCTTCACTTCTGTTACCAGCCTGTATTGCATCGTCATGACATAATTTAAGAGCTTCTGCTTTTGACCGTGGGGGCTTTTCAAATGCTGAAGGCTGTTTTATTGGACGACTATGTAACAATCAAGATCGTCGGACCAGGCGAACGGGTAGCGTGATGTGAAAGTCCCTGCTGTTGAACGGTTGAATAAGTAGCCAGACCCCCTTTTATGGGATATAGGGGTAGGAATAGGAGAAGAAATGGATCAACTTAACGTGTATATCCCCCAGCAACCCGGACGTGATTTTGGACAATCGTTCAGGCCCCTGACCCCTGCAGTTTTATGCAATCGCAAAGATATCGTTCAGACGGCTAGCTGTCGAACAAAGCGTCCCAAGAGAATGTGAATTGAATGCTCTGTTCATCTAGCAGCTAGTCCTGCCAGGTTGCTAGTATATATACACGTTTGATTGACCCCTTTTCCTTCTCCTATTCCTACCCCTATATCCTCCATAAGAGAAGAAAAGTTAGCCACTGTGGTCACCTTCACGGGAGAATGGAAGAACCAGTCCACTTCTGCAATGGGTCCGGGCGGACTCCGACCTGAAGGAATTATAGGAATGAAGATTCTGCAGAGTCAGACGGATTCGCACCCTCGTCCATCATTCCTTAGCGACCACCATCTCCGGCTGACCTCCTGATAACACTGGACGAATCGACGCGAAAAACACCACCGCAGCGACCACCCATCCCTCAGCGGGTCACCAGGTCTCAAAGCGGCCAGACTTGAACTTCCAAGATGAGCAGACAAGGACACTAATCGAGCCTTCTATCAAGGTCATTGCGTCGGGAATACTGTAGACCAACAGCTTTAACGATAATTCCGGGAGAGGCATTCCACAAGCGCCCAGCTTGTTCTAGATCATGTCTTTGTTCTGTAACGTTTTGTGCCAATGGGTGTCTGGCATTTGACGCTCTAACATCAACGGATTATGATTACAGATTGGTACCAATCTGGAATGGGAATACCGGGTTTAGCGTCCTTGGCATCGAAAGGTTAAAAAACTCACTTCCAAAAACGGCGGCATCAACCCGCCAAATTCAACGGGAAATTTCCGCGTTGAATTGCAAGGCGTCCACAGCTTGTCTGTCATCTCTACTGTCTTCTAGCGTTGGTCGGATTGGAGGATACATTCCTTTCATATATGCTACAATACTCTTCCCTTAGAGCTGCCGGACTGTCATACCCATCTTTTTCTCTCCGCCGGTATCTTCATTGGTCGAAAAGATTAGACATGGACGCGGATGAGTTTAGAAAGGCTGCCCACGCGGCGATAGAAGAAAGTACGACTCCGCCGTTTCGTTCGAGACCAGCAGAGAGCTGACAGAGACAGTCATCTCATACAACCAGAACCTCCCCAACTATCCGGTGCTGCCAACCATCAAACCAGGATTTCTGGCACCGCAATTACCCAAATCGGCCCCTGAAAGGCCGCAGTCGTGGTCGGAGATCCAACCGGATATCGCGTCGAAGATCGTGCCTGGCATCACCCATTGGCAGTCGCCGAACTTTATGGCCTTCTTTCCCGCCGGAGTCACTTATCCATCCGTGTTGGGGGAGATGTATTCGGCGACATTTACCGCGCCGGCTTTCAATTGGCTCTGTAGCCCTGCTTGCACTGAGCTTGAGACCGTGGTAATGGACTGGTTGGCTCAAGCCTTTGATCTCCCCAAAGAATTCCTCAGCACATCACCTTCTGGTGGAGGAGGAACCATTCAAGGCTCTGCCTCCGAAGCCGTTGTCACTTGCATGGTTGCGGCCAGAGAACGGTACCTACATACCAAATGCGATGCGGAGAATCTTGCCCCGGACTCTCGAGAACGTGAAGACAGGATTGCTTATCTTCGTGGACGTCTGGTGGCTCTGTCCTCCGATCAAACCCACTCTTCGACTCAAAAGGGAGCTTTGATCGCCGGCACACGGTATCGGTCCATCCCCACCAAGCTCGAAAATGGACTCTCGCTACAAAGGGAGGAACTTGAAGCCGCTCTTGCTCAATGTGAGGCCGACGGTCTGGAGCCGTACTACATCACATTGACATTGGGGACGACGTCCACATGTGCGGTCGATGATTTTGCCGGCCTGGCGCCTGTTCTCAAAGCGCACCCCAATCTCTGGGTGCATGTCGACGCTGCATTTGCCGGAGCTGCCCTTGTATGTCCCGAATATTCTTCCCAATACTCGCCATTAATGACCATTGCCGACTCTTTCAACATGAACATGCACAAATGGCTGCTGGTCAATTTCGACGCCTCTTGTCTCTTTGTCCAGAACCGAAACCACTTGACCCGCGCTCTATCGATTTCGGCGGCCTACTATGTCAACAAACACACCGACAGCGGTCTCGTCACGGACTACCGGGACTGGCAGATCCCCCTAGGCCGTCGATTCCGGGCCTTGAAGATATGGTTTGTGGTGCGCAGCTACGGATTGGAAGGGATGCGGGCACACATCCGGAACAGCATCAAGATCGGCGAGATCTTCGCGGCGCTCGTCCGCGACAGACCCGATTTATTCGAGATTGTTACCAAACCTGCCTTTGCTTTGACCTGTTTCCGAGTCAAGCCGTCTGCTCTGTCCTTGGAAGGTCCTGCAGAGACGAAATCAAATGTGGTGCCCCCAGTGGCGGCCACTCAACAACGAGAGCAGGAAGCGAACGCTGTGACCAAGCAGATTGGCGATTTGATCAATGAGCGTGGAGAGATCTTCCTCACCTGCAGCGGCACGGCGGGCAAATCTTTTATGCGTATAGTCAGTGGAAACCCCAATGCACAAGAGAAATATGTTCGCGCAGCATTCGACATCATTGTTAAGACAACGGAGGAAGTCATCTTTTCGAGAAATTCGGGACAAGTGAAGGCGATGGAGAATGGGCATGTGGTATAAATGTCGAATTGGCGCCCGCTTCTTTGTGCATAAAAGACATTCAAAACTCCCATTCGGGGGGAACTGGAGAATAGAACAGGTAAAACGATTGAATCACGATCATAGCTCTCTGATAGATCGACGACCATTCCTTGTCTCGCTTACACAGTAAAGTGATGGACGGACCAGAGGCTAGGAATGGTGACGAAACGGCCTGTCAAACAACCTCGCAGTAATCAATAAAGGACTCTGAATACTGCCCGACGCATGTAAAGATCCGAGAAAGACGGGTCATAAAGAGCCAGCCCTCAGATTACGTGGTTGTTGGTGTCAGTGAGAGAGGATTAAAGGCGGAGGCCTCTGGGCGGCTCATCAACTCCAAAACACGACGCAATCAATACCACACACGCGTCTTCAACGCACACCTCGCCATCCTCTTTTCAACAGTGCCAATGGCGAGCTTCGGAATCGATCGTGGCTACACTGACGCCAATCGAGCTTTCTTGCAGGCGTTCCTCTCGCGAAATGTCCTCACCTTGGAGACCGCCAAACCCATCATCGCCGCCATTTCCTCCTTTCAAGACGGACGCGAAGTCCAGCTCCAAGATGTGACGGTTGAAGATCTAAATTCGTATATCTCCGAAGCGAATCGAAAATTGTCCCCTCTTGATCTCGAGATCAGGAGCACCTTCCATCAACAAACCCGAGAACGAGTCTACGCGCTGGTCAACACTACGAGCGACCCTCTGACCCAGCTGGCCACCACCTATACCGCCGATGAGATTGTCTACGTCAAGAAACTTCTCGATGCGATGTTTAACGGGCAGAACAATAAGGGCAAGCGGGAAGCCATGTGTTTGAGTGCAATTGATGCCATCCAGGTTGGAAGAGCCCAGAATAGGCGTGAGACCCAGAATGGGAATACGACGCAGTCTTCTACCGGCATGCTCGGCGCTCGAGACGCTGAGAGTATGCTCAACAGGTTGGTGGACGAGGGTTGGCTCGAGAAAAGCAGGCTTGGATTTTACAGCCTCAGCCCGCGAGCGTTGATGGAACTCAAAGGTTGGTTGGTTGACACTTACAACGATGAGGACGAAGACGGTCAGAAGAGGGAAAAGATCAAGTTCTGTCATGCGTGCAGAGAGATTATAACGGTGGTATGGAAATCACGACTGCAGGATGAACTCCCATACTGATGTCGAATTTAACAGGGTCAACGATGTCCCAAACACGAATGTCCCTGTCGACTACACAATATTTGCATCCAGAACTTCTTTCGCATGCAGCGATCGCAAAATTGTCCTATATGCAACAACGAATGGGATGGTCGACATTATGTGGGAGAGAAAGCTATAACCACTTCAGAGAGCTATCAAACTGGTCGACGCCGAAGCGGTCACAGACCTAGAGCCGATATCGAGACGGATATAGACAACACGTGAGGTGCGCATACCTCCCAAACGAACAAAAGTGTGACCACATGTTAGCATCTGATCAAGGAAAGCGATTTCACACACTCCAACGAAGATTGTTGTCATTTGGAGCAAGTCCAACCTTGCTGGAGAATGATGAACGAAATCGGCACCGAGACGCGATGCGGCAAACAGATTTGGACTAAAAACCACGTTCCAACTTTGTTGGCGCGGACTAAAAATGCACCGACAAGACTTGTGCCTCGAAATCTAAATCTCGTCGCCTCCGCATCTGTCACGTATCTCCACACAATGACGTCGCATCGGGGTAAAAGAATTGCCTCACGATTTGATCGGTGACTGGCAAAGGAATACATCGACCCTGGGTCAATGTGACCACTAGTTCGACGTATCGAGTTCGAATTGGTTCCGATGTAACTTCTTCCCATCGGGGTCTCTCGCGGGGTTGCCTGCGTTAGAGACGGATATGTGGGTTGTTTCATTTGCTCAAGCTTAGGAAAATCCCCTCTGGGCTCTTTTCCCTGTTGTTATGAAGCTCCATTTGATGTCACATGAAGTGGAAGACCTTTCATGAGGTGCCTCCTGCCCCAAATTCGGACTTGTTTCCAGTATCCCGGCTTCTCCAGTTTCTCGTGCTCGTGGTTTACATTGTATAGAGCGACGAAGGTGTTATCGAGTCATTCAAGGTGATAGTAGGCTAAATCCTCTTTGGACAGATGATGGCCACAAGCCATCTTCCCTTGCTCACCCTTCTCACCACGTTGTCCTCGCTTGTTCTAGGTCAATCCGGAAATGCGTCGGCAGTGTATGAGACCCGCTTCGACGGTGTCACCTGGGACAGCGCAAATTGGGTGCTCACTACAACCAATCTCGACCAAGGTCATTATCAGTCTCGAATGACAGTGGCAAATGGCTACCACGGAATCAATGTGGCGTCCCTGGGGCCTTTCTTTGAAATCGACACCCCAGTCGACGGTGACACCATCAATGGCTGGCCACTTTACGGCCGACGACAAACGTTTGCGACCGTGGGTGGATTCTGGGATTCCCAGCCCAAAACAAACGGCACCAACTTTCCCTGGCTATACCAGTATGGTTGGGACACTGCCATCAGCGGCATTCCTCATTGGGGTGGCATCGTCGTGGACTTGGGAGGCAGCAACTTCCTGGCCGCTTCGACCAACAGCTCAACGATTTCCAACTTTGAATCAAGCCTCGACATGAAGAATGGTCTGATGAACTGGGCATTCACCTGGACTCCCGGCGGTCATGGCTCATTCAACGTGTCCTACCAAATGTTTGCACACAAACTCAATGTCAATCAAGGATTTGTCACCATGAACATCACCGCTGCCAGGCCCACTAATCTCACAATTGCGAACGTGATCCATGGGGACTGTGCCGTACGTACCACTCCGGCAGAAAAAGGTGTCGACTCGGGCATCATCTTCACCGCGGTTCAACCGAACGGCATCGACAATGTCACAGGCTATGTCTATGCTGGAATGTCTCACAGTGGCGCTACCGTCCGGTCGGTCGAGCAGGCCTCCTGGGACAGACCGTATGTGGGAAATAATGAATCTTCCGTGGCCAGCGCCGTCAATGTTACCCTTGAGGCTGGACGAGTTGCGACCTTTACGAAATTTGTTGGCATTGCTTCGACTGATGGATATGCTCGTCCTCGCGTTGTTGCCAGAGAGGCAGCACTAGCCGGGCAAGAAGCAGGATACGCGGCGTCTCTGCAAACTCATGCCGAAGAATGGGCTACGCAATTCCCTCCCACCTCAGTGGATGACTTTTCATATCCGGAAAATGGAACACTCCCAAACGACCCGTACATCATCGAGGCGGCCATTACAGCAGTGACCAACCCTTATCACTTACTCCAGAATACCATCTCTGAGAATGCAATGCTGGCCTCCGGCAATGCCTCGATCAACAGCCACAGTATTGCAGTCGGAGGGCTCGGATCGGATTCTTATGCAGGACAGATCTTCTGGGATGCTGAAATTTGGATGCAGCCTGGCCTGGTGGCCGCATTCCCCGCTTCGGGCAGGGGTATCGCCAACTATCGTGTCCAGCGGTATCATCAAGCGTTAGCCAACGTCAAGACGGCCTACCAATCATCCAAAAACGACACCCATTTCACCTCCAACGCCGCCATTTTCCCGTGGACCAGTGGTCGGTTTGGAAACTGTACAGCCACCGGTCCTTGCTGGGACTACGAATACCATATCAACGGCGACATCGGTCTCGAATTCGCAAACTACTGGGTGGTTTCCGGAGACACGCCATATTTCCGCGAGGAACTCTTCCCCATTTACGATTCCGTCGCCACACTGTACTCCGAACTTCTCCAAAAGGACGGATCCAGCTGGTCACTCACCAACATGACGGACCCAGACGAATACGCCAACCACGTCGACAACGGTGGCTTCACCATGGCATTGATCTCCAGCCATCTCACCAACGCAAATACCTTCCGGGCGATGTTTAATGAAGTGCCAAACGCGACGTGGAGCTCCCAAGCCGAAAATGTGTTTATTGCTCGCGACGCGGAAGCCAACATCATCATGGAATACGACGGTATGAATGGGAGTATCACCGTCAAACAAGCCGACGTGATCCTCAACACGTATCCTCTCTCCTTTACCGGCCAGAACTACACTTCAAACGACTCGCTGAGCGATTTGGACTACTACGCCGCCAAACAATCCGTCGATGGGCCGGCCATGACCTACGCCATCTTCTCGATCATCGCCAATCAAGTTTCACCCTCTGGCTGTTCGAGCTACACCTACCAACAATATTCCACCCACCCCTACGTCCGCGGTCCTTGGTTCCAGTTCTCGGAACAGCTCATCGACAACTGGCAAGAAAACGGCGGAACGCATCCGGCGTACCCATTTCTGACCGGTCATGGCGGATCCAACCAAGTCGTGCTGTTCGGATACCTTGGGTTGCGCCTGATTCCGGACTACCACTTGCACGTCGACCCGTCGCTGCCACCACAGATTCCCCAGATTCGATATCGCACGTTCCACTGGCACGGCTGGCCCATCTCGGCCTTCTCGAACCAGACACACACGATCTTGACGCGCAACGGCAGCATCACGCCCGCCGAAGGTGCTGTCCCCGACGCCACCTACGCGTCATCACCGATCCCCGTCGTCGTTGGCCCCATCGGCTCCGCGCCTCTCTCGACCCATTTCCTCGCACCGAATTCCAGTATCACCATCCCCAACCGCCACACGGGACAAATCAAAACAACCCCCGGCAACGTCGCGCAGTGTCTCCCCGTGACGTCTCCCGACGACTTCCTCCCAGGCCAATTCCCCATTGCGGTCGTCGACGGCGCCGCCAGCACGAAATGGCAACCCGCCCTCGCCAACCAGACCGCCAGCATCACCGTGACTTTGCCTGTCGGCTACCACGTCTCATCCATGCGCTTTGACTGGGCCCAGGCCCCGCCGCTGAACTACACTGTGCTCTTCCACAACGACACGCTCGATTTCCCGAGCGCCTTGACCGCCAGCACACAGCCGGGCGTGCAGCAAGTAGCCCGTAACTCCTCCATCCGCATCACGAACCCGTACAACGAGACCGAGATCTTGGGCATTGAGTCCATCGAAGCCAACGTCACGAACTCCGCCATAGGCCCAGACGTCTATACAGCACGCTACGCCACGCTGCAGATCTGGGGCAGTTTGTACAATGGCACGCTGGACGCGGAGAATATGTCCGGCGACGGCGCCACGGTGGCCGAGTGGAGTATTATTGTCGATAATCTTCCTGGGCTTGATGGAAGTAGTGGTGGTGAAGCTGTCAAGAAGAGAGATGAGTTGGCTGGAACAAATTTGATGACTAGAAACGAGATGAATATGGATGTCCGGCTCAAGTTGGGTCGTGTCGCGAGGTATATGCAAGGGAGGAAGAGGATGGGTATGTAAGGAACTGAACAGCAGTAGCATGACATGTCTCCATCGATACGGAAAACACACAGAGAAAAGTACAGGACGCCGCACAGGGTTGAATAATTCGATTGACATGCATGAAATGCGTTTGAAATTCTTTTTGGCCTTTTTTGTGGTGTTTTCTTGCATCGGTCACTGACTGAATGACCATGTCTATCATATCGTAGCACTCATTAGGGTGCGCCGCCCTTTGCTGTTCCACGTGATGCGAGACGGGCGCCTGTCAAGATTCTCTGTCATGTATACTTTCCTATTAGAGGGAGTCGCGTTATCGTTCCCTGCGTATTCGGACATATCAGTCACCCACCAGGACAAAGGCTCGAGCATCTCGAAGCCGGCGCTGCCTGGCGTTGAATATAGTGATACAACTGACGTGATGTTGCAAGTGTGGTGGACCCATGCCTCATCCTCACTGTCCCTGAGATTCGCCATGGCCTTCCATCCTCCCTCGGGCCTCGCCTAAGAGTGCCTCTTGCATCTTTCTCAGCTCTTCTTCGCCCATCTTATCAAAGCCACCGAAATTGCGCATCTTTTCACCTCGTCCGACTCGTTTCTTCTGGACCTCCTGCCACTCACCCACGACCCCGCGGCAGCCTTCGATGTAGCTTCCAAAGCCCAGATCAGTCAGAGCTTGCTCGACGTGTTCGACGCTAATGGTTTTTTTGGACTCCCGCTCAGAGATGTCGTTGGATTCGGAAGATAACATGCGCAGAAACTCGAGGGAGCAGGATATCAGGAGATCCCGCGCCGGTCGGGTGAAGGTCATTTCGCCATCTTTGGCGGATGTGGTCGAGTCGTGCGGGAGCTGTGGGAGGATTTCGGAAATAATCTTTTGAACTGTCGCTTTAGGGAGCGAGAGATCGTCGTTGCCTGGAATGTGCTTGTTAGTTTCGGTCGGCCAACAAAGCGGCTGACGAACAGAAACATACCGCCGTATTCTTTGTCCGACATGGTTGAGGCGCTGATTAGATGGATGTATTGTGCGCATGAAACTGATCCTTCAAGTCCTATCGTCTGTCGCGGCTCATGGTTCCAGCCCAAGAGCGCGAGCGAGACGAGGAGAAATAAATACTTGACGTGCCAGGCTGGAGGCCGTGGCAGAGGGGCCCTCGGATTCTGTCAAAACAGGAATCGTGCCAAATTGCCCTTGGCGGGAAAATTATTTCAAGATTTCTTTGTTTCTCCTCTCATTGCCTGTTATCCACTCCCTTCTAACAAGCCAGCATTGTCCTTGGCTTTTGGATCGCGTTGAGGAGTGGTGGTACTGCTAGCGGAGATGATGAATAGCTTTGCCTGCAATCAATGGATGCTCTGCGCATGTCTGCCGCGCTCTATCTTGACGCGTTTTGTGGAGCGAAAATGCTAGTACCGACCTCAAGCGACGGTTGATGTCGAGCATATCTGTGACGGATAAGCAGCTATGTGAGTCTAACTCCCCTTTCCTCCATCTTCTGTCGTGATGAACATTCGTGTCGCCCCTATCATACAAAACTGTGGTGATTACCTGTCCCAAGCCAAACGGACTTTCTGATCATATCATTGATTTTGCTTCCTCATCACAATCACCTGATCTGAGACTGACATACTCCAGAAACCTAGATTGTACGTATGCCTTCCATCCTGGCACATCTTTCGCCTTTCCATGATGAGCAATACTACGTACTATCAAATTCGGACACCCAATGACGACTTACTTGGTTCGATTACCTGAAACTCGAATTGGCATCAAAATTTGCTTTCTTCTCGCGCAAGGGACTCCTCTGACCGTGGTCTTTAGAGCGTCCGGCTCCTGACCTTGGATTCCAATTTCGTGATATTGGTCTTGTAAGTCCAATCGCGTTCATTTATTTTCTCCCTATGATGAACACATCACTCTTTCCATGCTAAGTATGAAGGTTCTTCGAACCTGATGCTTAAGCTTGTGTATTCATTTTCATCTTTCGCCTGAGACTGAAGTCTATTGCGATCATTCTTCCTTGATTAATGGAATGGTGGTAGCTAACAAATGAGAAACAGACTCTGCACAAATATGATTCGTGACCTCTTCCAAGCGTTGTGTGTGTATTTTCTCCCATGAAGACATCCCCCGTCTGGTCTATATTTCATGCCTACTTTGGTTGGTAATCCACTAACTTGGGATCATCCCAACTGCTCGCTTGTCAGTCTCAATGCCACCTGAAAAATGAAATCTCCTTACCTTAGAAACATTCCTGACAATTCTATGTCTGCTCTTACAACCAACTCGGCGATAACCACCCCGGGCTTTTCTGGTGGCAACAATTTTCCATCCTTCTTTGCACTCAGAAATTTCACCTGATCTTTCTCGTCCATATTTTTCAAATACTTTTCCCTAATATCAACCTGCATTGCTGTGTCAACCACACCAGGCCGGATCGATACGGTTGTTACTTCCGGTTCCTCGTTTTTCAACGTCATTGCAAGATGGTTGATGGCTGCTTTGGAGGCGCCATAAGCTCCCCAGGAAGAATATGCGTTGCTGGCAGCGCCGGAGGATGTAAAGATGATACGACCTTTCGAAGCGCGGAGGAATGGAAGAGCGGATTGGATCTGGTTATATGAGTCAACCAACCACGATCCTCTTTCTCTCGATGTTCCACTGGAGAACTGTATCCTGTAGAACTGTCCCCCGAGAGTATGAGAGATTCGGATGACTTACCAAAACCACACAACTCGTCACATTGATACAAAATGTGCCCTCCCATTCCTCCGCCTGCATGTCCGCCAACCTCAAACACGCGCCCAACGTGCCATGATTGAGAATGACACCATCCAGCCGCCCTTCTAATTCGACATCCCGAAGAATTCCCTTCACATACTCCAAGTCCGCCATGTCTCCTGCCCTGGTAATCACCCGATCGGGGTTTTGCGTCCGTAAGTCCTGTAATCTGTTGGCCTTGCGACCCGTTAGAATGAGCAGGTGCTGGGCACTAGATGACAGAAGATGCTGCGTGATGGCCAGACCGATGCCTGCTGTCGCCCCCGTCACGAGAATGGTGCGCGAGTTTGGATACTGGGTCTATCAGGTCGGTTAGAACGACCGAGTCTTCGTCTTTCCGCCTTATGGCGGTATTTTCATTTCCCCATATCAGAGTCCTTTGGTGTACTTCACTTACACGGTGCTTAGCTAGATATTCCGGTGATGGGCCAAAGTGACTCTTCGTCCCAGACATTTTGAATGTCGAGAATGACAATGAGTACGAACGGAAACAACGCCGAGTCTCAGGCTGGGCAATGAGAAGATGGGGATATCGGGAAGTTCTATTACCGTGGAAGGCTCTGAGTGGCGGCTTAATCATGAAGTGAAGTGGCTTTTTTCCTGAAGGTGGGTTCCATGAGTTCGCTCAGACTTTCTCATGATGTCAAGCTACTTCGTGTCATTAGCAAATGCTCCAACGTATCACACATTGGCTACTTCACAGTCGGGAAGCAGAAAGTTCCGCTGCTCATAATGATTTGAATCCGGCGGATGTGCTGGCAGTGCCCGACCCGAACCGATCTGTGTCATTATCAGTGCTCCTCCAGCTAGGTAGTGTACATGGATGAAATCTTCTGCGTCAAGATGCCAGTGTGTCGGTGCTCGCCATGGAACGCGGAAAATTCGAGGAGAGGCTTATTATCGACGAAGACATTGACACATCGATGATTCTGTGGCGCTTCTCATTGCACCGAGTTCCTACTCCGTACATGCGTACCGTTTTACCCCGGGTTTCTCATCGCTTCCCCGGATCACACGGGCAGATCATCGATGCGGCCAAGAAGCCGACTTCCGAGAAGGCTGACCTCGTAGGGGGCGGGTGACCCGAAGATGAATTGGGCCGGACCGACGTGTGCCGAAATATCCATCGAATAAGACTGGTTTCTGTGGTTATCCGTCTTTTCCGCTCTTATTAATTAATCCTGTTTTTTCTCCCTCCCCCATTGTTTCCTATGCCGAGGGTTCGTCAGGGTGGATGTACCTTTTTCTAGACTTGTGCGGTTCAAGGACCCCGAAGGGAAGAAGATATGTTATGGCGAAGCCGGTCTTGATTGGGAAGCAGATCTCAAAGGCAAAAAGCTGCAGACTTTTACAGATCTTGATCCTTGGGATGGCAAATTCCAGTTGTCTGGACAAAGCGCTGTTGTGTCTGAAGTTCGAATCCCCAACTGGCCATTCAAATCCGAATGCTGACAAGATTTGAGGTGCTACGTCCGTTGGAAAAAGTGCCGCTCCTGCTAGGAATTGGCCTCAATTACCGAAAGCATGCAGAGGAAGCAGGGGCATGTCCAATGCTGGCTCATGTCTGTTTATTTGAAGCCATATTCTGAGCGAGTGCAGTTCCCAATTCCATCATTCCCAGTCGTTTTCACAAATTATCCAGGTACTATTCGGAGGGTGAAGTCAGAAGTTCAAGAAAATTCTTGTGCCGAAAACGTGGACAGATACACTTGCCGGACCATTCGAGGATATCCCCATCCACCCGGAGGCCCATGAATTAGACTACGAAGGCGAATTATCCGTGGTCGTCGGCAAGGACGCCAAAAACCTCACGGAAAAGGACGAGCCTCTCGACTACGTGCTCGGTTTCACGGTGGGCAACGACGTTTCCTCCCGATACTGGCAGAACCCTCAGAGATCGGGGGCTCAGCACGGTCCAGCGAAGTCCTTTGATAAATTCGGCCCCATTGGGCCGGTCATTGCGTCGCTAAAGGCTGTGAATAATCCCGAGCGATTGAAGCTCCGGACTTGGGTCAATAGCGACCTGAGACAGGATGGCGCTACGGACGACTTGATTTTCAGCATCAAAGAAATCATCAGACATCTTAGTCGTGGGACGACTTTGAGAAAAGGAACGGTTATCATGACGGGAACCCCGAGGTATGTCTCCCCAGCAAAGGTGACAAGAGCATTTCACGCTAACATTCGTCAGTGGTGTTGCCGCATTCATGAAACCGGCACAATGGCTGAAAGATGGAGATGTCGTGGATATTGAGATCGAAAAGATCGGGAGAATCTCGAATACAATGTCTTTCGAGGTCAGGAAGTAACTGGAAAAGCTATAGCTATTCAGAATTTCACCCCTTCTTTCCGATCTTCTCGCGTGCCAAATGCAATGTCCGTTCGCCATCACCGGGATCGGACACATCAGTCCTTGGAAAAGCTCCTCAAACACATACCATCTCTACACTGCCCTTGGGGCCATATGAAGATTATTCTCCAGAGCAGTAGTCCCCTTGCCTTCGATGTCATAGTGAAGCTGCCACTGCAGCGGATGCCATCTCTATTGCGATGTAGTTGCGTCTGGTCATCTTGATTTGATAGGATTGTGACATGATGAGGAGCGTTGATTTAGGAGGGGGGATTCTAGGTCTTCAAGAATCTTCCAGACATATCCCCCTTCAATAGCCAACCGAATGTCATGAAAATCATCGTGCGCAGACTTTGTTGCTCTTCTATCGCCAGATATGTGCACCACCTGTGTTCTATGTCAGTTAACATCTCCTCGCTCTGTTGTACAGTATTCCCACTCAGTTCCTCAGGTATTCAAGTCCCTATCTCTCTCCTGCGGCATTTTAGAGTAGTTCAGCACACTCTATTAGTTTGTGGGAGCGTGTCATGAGTTCCACTTGGGGGAAAGTAGGTTTCGTCGAAAAGTTGTAATATCTAAGCTGCGAATTCTAGACCGTGGATTCCATGACCGTAGTACGATTGTTAGCAGTCGTTCCCACCAGTATGCTTTGATTGTTGTCATGGTTTCTCTCGGTTTTCGCATCGAACTTGCCCAGGCTGCTCATACTCCGTGGGACTGTCCGCAGGCCCAAGCACGAGAAGTCCATTTTCGTTTTGGTTGACTTGTTTCAACCCCTCCCCCGGCCGGAAAGTTCATCCGAGCTCAACGAATGCAAATATTCGGTTATCTCATCCGACGACGGCTTCTGGCCTCCCGGATTGGGTGCTTCATCTGTTCGGCTCTCGATACGGTTGAATCCTAGCGTATGATTTGACCCTGCTGTGACTTGTGGCAGGACGCCCCGGGAATTCCGAGTCAGTCTGTGTGGTCCCTGGAAAGCACCGACATTCTGTAGAGTATACACTTCTCCCCTGGCCGCTTACTGGCCCTCCTGGTCTGGTTAAGAGTCTCTCATCCACCGGCCCACAGAGATATTCGATCCTGCCGGGAAATTCAAGATCCTCGACTAGGTTAGCAGGGCCGGAGAGCAAGAATGGATAGCTACGTGTTCCAATTGGGCTTCGATAGAAGTCTTAGGTGATCGTAAGACTTTGTACCGGAGTAGCGATGGAATGGGCATGTTGACCCGTGGATTAGCCATTTCTGTATTGGATTTTCGATCAGTCGCCTTGATATCTGGGGAATTTGGCTCGACAGTGTGATTCACACAAGACTCATCTGAATTACCAGCTTGACAAGACCCGCCTGTGTCGAGAGACTCCACCTAAACGTCAAAATATTGTCGGCGGGCGATGTAAGTCCATGGTACTTTTCTTTGGGCACTCTTGTGGCAAGGTTTTCCCTTATGGATTTCTCACATTGTGCGATTCTCTTTCGGAAGTCTTCAGTGAACTCTTTGACAATCGTCGAGTACTCGTCTATTTCGCTGCGAAAGATTTGGGAGACGTTGAATGATTCAAGTTCTCCCGCTTGTTCATTACCGATCCACCTTCTTCCCCCGGCGCCAAGAAACCGAAGCTCGTGTCAAAATCCTTCTAGGATCCTAGATTGAGAGGAAAGAGGAAAGGGTTGTTGCCCCAAGTTACTTTTCAGCCTTGTCGCAAAATCGAGGTGCTTTTCTAGGAGCTGCCTGTCGTTTTGGTTAGTAATTTATGAATCGGCCCACTGACATAGACATAACCATGAAAGATTCGGAATGGATTTGTCGTAAACTCAAGAATTGACATCAAGAGGAAGGATGCCGGCTTGCCTGGAGCAATACTGGTGGTGCCACGGCTAAGCCACGATATCTCCTTCAAACATTGGCGCACTAGCCGGTGATTCCCGAGTCACACCGGTTGAGCAGCTTGGTATCCTTGAACCAATAAAATCAAGCAACACACACACGCAGTGGTTGATTCAAAGGGGCAGGATTCGAGAGAGGGCATTTGGCAGGCAAGCAAAGGCATACTAAATATCTCTTTTTCATCACATCCGATACATTTCATCTGAACTGATCTTCTGCAATCTCTTTAGATTTATCATACGGGCCGCTCGAGGGCTTTTTCCCGAATCCTCAAGCTCAAGCGACAATTGACATCAAGATACGAGTATATTGATAACATCGTAGTGCTATGTATCACATCCAATATATGTCCGCCACGAATAGAACTCTCGGGCACAAAAAGAGAACATTTTACAATGACTGGTTATTCAGGAAGCAAAGAAAGGAAGGCAATTCAAACATGGGGACGCGGATGACCCCAATCTCGTCCTGTCTCTCATTAAGCCGGGAGATTTCCCATCATTTGTCACGGAATCGTATTGCTGGAGCAGTCATTCCGGTCAACCCAGCCGTGCCAACTTTACCAGCCGGCCTGATCCTGTCACCATTGAGACCCTAGATGGATCAAGACGAGCATCCAGGGCATCTGCGACAATTTTGAGGAGGGCCGTACGACATGTAGCCAATCTTCAGTGTCTCTCTGTCTGAATCGATCAGGAATGCATCGACCAGACCAATTCGGCGCAGAAGGAAGCGATGATACAAGTCGTGGATCTGGTATTTTGTGAAGCTCGGCAAATCCTGTGCCTGCTCAATGTTCAAGTGGAGGATCAAGGGCAAATTGATTTTTTGGAGGAATTACACCATTACAACAGATACGGACCCGACAAAAATTTCAACTCCACGAGCAGACATTTGGGTGGATTGGCTCCCGATCCGAGACTTGCGAGATCTCTCATCAAAACATTTGAGACCATATCGCAAGATCCATTCCTTACCCGTGCACGGATCGTCCAAGGACGGCACTGTACCAGTGATCACAACAGCGTCGAACCCCGGACACCCTGCGGTTCAGGGCTCAACACCCGCTACGTAGAAGGAGAAGTCTGCGACTGATCGGTTCGCTGATGCGTTTCAACTTATCTATCAGACTGGCCAAGTCAGTGGACAGGCAAGCGTGATACTGGGCCTTGGAGGATGGAATTGACTGAATTGACTAGTCTATTGATATCGACTTGATCGCTTGAGAGCGATCATGGGGTAAGGGTGCGAGTAGCAAGATAACAGCTTACTCTCCTAGTGACTTGGCAGCCATGACATTATCGGGCCAGAGGCGATGAGACGACGGATTGCACAGCCTTTACGTGCTCATTTCAACGCATCGCAAGTCTTGAGCATGTTGAACAAGTCAGATTGTCTTATTCCATCCGAAAAATTGGCCATCCCAGCGAATGGCTGCGGTTGGAAAAGAAGGCTCGATACTCAAAAAGCGAATAGCGAGGGATGGAGCTTCAGCGCTCGTGCCTGGGTCCTTCCCATAGCCAACGCAGACGCTTCATCATTCTGCCAATTCGACCGGTGTAATGATACCGGTCAAGTCCACTGGCCACCACGTACGAACACACGGCTCAAAGATATTCTCTGTCCGGACCTTATCGACCAAGTCCCCATGACTATCCAGTCGGATGGCTTACAAACGGAAGGCTGGCTTTGGAAAGCAGTCAGAGGACGGCGGCTGATTCCACAATGGCACTGGCCAAAAACTCAAATCGTCCCGTTCGAGTCCTTTGACGAGGTCCTCGACCCTGTTTCAGGGGACGCTCTCCCTTTTTACAAAAGCCTCGGCTTCGATGATCCAGAGGCACTATCTGCTGACACAAATCATTGGCTTCATAATCATTACGCTTTTGGTGACGAGAGAGTCTGGACAAACCCTGTGCATCTTAATCTTCTAGGTAATGAGGCTCAGCTGCGAGGTCTTTCATGGACTCGAGACGTAGTCATACAAGACGGTGGTCTCACGATAGGTCAGCTCGTCTCCAATGATGACACTGAAAGCCTGAAGAAGCCAGCTTTTGCCCTTATGAATTCAAGGCTGCAAGACCATATCGCCACCCAATACCGCCCGGTCTGGGAGTACGACCAGCAAGAATGGAAGGCCAGGGCTCTTTATCATCCGCTAGATGTTTGGTTACAGGACAAGCCTTCACATTTGGACATCCCTTTTAGCTGGACAGCAACAGTCGATAATCAGGCCAAAAATAAACACGGAATCAGGGTTGACAAGGCATGCAATATGTTTTTCGATATAGGGGAGTTTGCGAATGACAAGAGGGAACTGACTCTCCTTTGGCCGGAAGAGTGTGGGAATGGGAACTGGACTAATTGAGAGTTTTCTTTTCTTTTCCCTTTTTCCCCTTGTTTTCCCCTTTTTGGGTTGTGGGGAAGGAACTCCGTTGAGATACCTGTTTTGTGGACTTGCAACAAAGGCTATCGGTTCGTTCTCGAATCTCAAGCAGAACTCACACTCCCAACCCACGCCTGATAACTCTTCATCCTCGGTCCATCTGCTGCAGTATTGGCGTCAATGACAATTCGTGCCGCGAACTCCGTCACCGTCATCCTCTCAGGACTATCTTTCGTCTTCGATTTCATCTTGCCCGTCACTACAATGTCCTTCCCATCTGAGCCGCTTACGAATACTTTGTCCACCGCGTGGTGGCGGAATATGACGGCGTTCCATGCATTGGCGCGACAGGTTTTGATTTCTATAACGCCCAAGTTCTTCGTGTGAGTAGTTCTCGTCAAAAGCAGATGGTATAGTAGAAGCCACAGGGAACCGACAAGGAAACATATAAGTTTAAAGAATTTCAACGCACCATCTTTGCCACTGAACGTGCCACCGCCTCCGATAAGCGTCGCATCTGAAGTAAAGACCTCTTCGGCCAGTGTCTGGCCAACTGATCCATCTTTCAGATCAACAAGGCGGAAGAAATGTGCGATCAGATCCTTGATTTCAGATGCAATCGGCGTGCTGGGCCACACGGTCGATTCGAATACAGATGCCATGATTTACAATGTAAATCACACAATGTCTTCGGGAAAAAAATTTATCGGATTCTTATATGATAGGTCATAAATCGGCAATGCGGGTCGTTGTTGGGTAGAAGCGTGTGTTTGTGCCTTGTCCGAATCTCGGTATCCGGGAAGTCAATGCCACGATATATCCTTCTAGAGTTAATCAGAGGGACTATTTATGTGATGCCACGTACTGATCAATATATACGAGGGCTTTGGTCATCTGAACGGAGAGGGTGGGAAGAAAGATTTTGCGAATCTCAGATTCAAAGGCAACTGATGTCGAAGACGGCAGAGTCGGAGTCTTCCGGGTCTCAGGCCAACCGGAGCTGGAGTCATTGCCCCATTTGATCGGACCGAGGCTCCGACCGAAGATGTGACTTTCGTGGTTTGCAAGGAGGGTTGTGTTACGATAAGTCAAAGCCAACCTTTCAAATCAAAGGTGCACATACCATCCACGGAGTATCAGCTTCAGAATCCAAGGCCTTCGGAATTTCTAATCGCAGATGGTTTCGCTCTGAGCCCGCCTTATACTCCGTCTAGGGAACCCCCCCAAAACTACTTTTGCGGGATCCCCAAAGGCAGTCACTAGTCATGCTTTAAGTCTCCAGAAGCATGTCACTAAAGATTGAAAGGGCAAGCTTTCGAGAACCAATAGAAATCGACAGGACGGCGTTATGACGGCAGTACGGAGAAAAGCGATGATCAAAAGGCGTTTTGAGCGAAAACAATCTCGAACAATTCATTTCTTCAATTCTTATTTGAGACTCGAGGGCTAGTTGAGCTCTTCGCGATAGGTACTTGAAGTTGCTGTCTTGTATCTCTGGTTGGGAATAATTGAACTTGCTGCTACTGCTACTGAAATATAAAACATCTTGGCCCCAAACTCCAAGGGGCGCGGCCGTCAGAGCAAGGACCAAATCATACAAAGATTCGGATCACTGAGGACTATAAATCCGTAGCCGCTCATTGATCGTGGGTGGCCAGTCTCGTCTCCCTTCAGAAGCTTTTAAGCCCGTCGGTCAGAGGTTGCAATAACCCTCCATCACAGCCCGCTTTTCCTTCCGAAATGTCCACCGTCATATTGGGCGGCGGCATAATCGGCCTGTCCACAGCCTATTGCCTCTCTCTCAAACAACCAGCTCAATCAGTCCACATCATCGACTCGTCGCCAACGTTATTCACCTCAGCAAGCGGCTATGCAGGGGGCTTTTTGGCCTTGGACTGGTTCAATCCCTCCGTGTCAAGCCTGGGTGCGCTATCATTCCGTCTCCATCGCGAATGGGCCGAAAAACATAACGGACCACGCCGATGGGGATACGCCGGCAGTCACGTCTACAGTCTCAACGTCGAGGACGTGGGGGGAGGTAAAGGCAAGACGGGAAAGAAGGCCAGAGGCGAAGATTGGTTGCTTGAAGGCGCGAGTCGGGCAGGAGTCGCGAGGGCGAACTCCGAGACAGACGTTCATATCGTGGGCAGCGGTGGAATGGTCAATGATGACGGGACACCGGCTGTGTTCACGCCGCACGTCGGAGGGACGATGGAGACGATAGCAGGGCCAGAAGAGTGCGCACAGGTCGAGCCGAGAGAGTTTTGCGAGTTTTTGCTGGAGGAGTGTCAATGCAGACATGTCCAGGTGCATCTTTCGATGAGGGCTGTCGGGGTCTTAACTGATGGGGACGGCGTCTTGAAGGGGTTGAAGGTGCAATCCACGTCTACCAACGGAAATTCTCAGGACCACGACGTGAAAGAAGTCGAATGTCGGAATGTGGTCATAGCTGCGGGGGCATGGACTCCGAGGGTCTTCAAGACGCTGTTTCCCGAGAGCAAGGTGCGGATTCCAATCGATCCCCTGGCTGGTCACAGTATCGTGGTCAAATCGCCACGGTACAAGACGCCTTTCATCGACGCCTCCAAGCGACATATCGGTGGTGGAGAAGACAATTGGCTGTGCTACTCTATTTATTGCGCGCCAGGCCAATACTGGCCGTATGCTCCAGAAGCATATGCTCGGTTGGCACGCAATGGTGAGACGGAGATCTGGCTGGGTGGATTGAATAGCAGCACATTGCCTCTTCCAGAATTGGCGGTGGATGTCAAGGACATGATTGATCCGAAGAGCATCGAGAGTCTGCGCAAGACAACGGTGCAGTTGGCCGGGCGGTCCAAGGAAGGGGACGAGCCCAATCAAGACGACTTGGAAACTGTCAGGGAAGCGCTCTGCTTCAGGCCCGTAAGTCAGAGTGGGAACCCGATTATCGGGAACGTGCCGGAGAAGGATCTTGGTGGTGTAAAGCTGGAGGATGGTGGTGTGTGGATTGCCTCTGGTCATGGCCCCTGGGGAATCACTTTGAGTCCGGGCACGGGGCTGGTCATGAGTGAAATGATATTGGGCCAAAAGACCAGTGCAGATGTGACGAGGCTTCAGATTGGTTGAGTTCTGACGAAAAGAATACTTATTGGGTTAGATCTGGTTGAAGATCTCCCGCCATTGTTGACCAATTTCCATACAGAAATTCGTCGGACAAAGGCCATCGAAAGTCCTGCACGAGTGAATCGGGTGACCACCCGATGCCCATCAGCTGCAGGGTGTCGAGTCCCGGAGAAATTCCTGGCAAAGATTTGCCAGTACTGTTCGTCAATTCATCTGAATTCCAGTGAGTGAGTCATGCGTCCAAGCCGGTAGAAAGACATGTACCTTCAACACCTTCATAAGGACTTGTTGACCTCCAAATTCTTTGCCGCCAGAGCCACAAAGTGTCAAAGGCCAAACTCAATCCGAACCTGTTTCTACAACGCAGCCACAAATTGTCCACGGTGCCATCCGGTCGCTTGATGTTCATTTGGCTGGTCCACAACTGGGGGAGAATGATTGTGGCTCGTGCTGCGACATCGTCCGACCGTATGCTGTGTTTCTCGTTCATGTTGATGACGGAGAAATAGCATTTCTGTCCTCGCCGGGCGTCCAGGGCGTCACGAACACGAGACTTTCCCACTCGGAGCACGATGAAAGCGGCGAGAGCGAGAATCATATTTGTCACACCGGGACCATATTCGGACATTTGCTTCTCGTCGTCCAATTCTACAGCCAGTTCGATCAGGTTGCAGGCGTCCCCGTACATGGAGAGCAGATTCATGTCGCCGATTGCTGACGAAGGCGCTATCAAGGAGCAAGCCGATATTTGCAACACGGCACTTCGAAGGAAGTAACGGTCTTGAGATTCTCAGCATGCAAGAAAAAGTAGAGAGCAATCCATCCTTACCCAGTTTAGACGGGCATTCCAACTCCAACGGAGACAGTCTTGAGAGAGCATGACTAACCGCTGCTGGAAGAACTACATTACGATCTTCCGGCCTCCTGGACAAAGCATCTCGCTCGATCTGAGAAATGGCCTCACTCTGCACCTGGTTCAACTTTCGTTGAAAGCGGATCGCTGTCGGTAGTGCTTCGAACGGATCCTCCTTGTATCCTTCGTGAGAGTAAGTGTCTGGTAACACCGCGGGAGGCAGGCCTCGGTAGTTGTTTACCCTTATTTCGAGATTAGTCCTGTCACCTCTGCGGTCCAGCTGTCCCACCTTTGGATGGTCAAGAGACAAATCGCCCATAATCTGGTCCGAAAGTTTCTTTGTTGACGATCGTACGGCTGTGCAACCCTTGAAAAGTCTTGCACGGTGCCATATACGTGAAGGCCTATATTCGTTGCCATTTGTATCATGGCGCCGGCCAGTGTCGGGGTGATATCTTTCGATGGTGTGTCGATGGGCATCTGCCACGTGCATAAGATGATCAAAGCCTGGATCGTCGGTAGGATTCTCTCCGTAGAGAAGATCGCCGACTTCGCCAGCTCGACAACTCTGGGAGCAAGGAGAAGAATCAATGTGGGGTCTTGGGCATATCTACGAGAACCGATGGCGACGATGGTCCAAAATAGGAAAGGGGAAAAGGAGTGGCATTCGTTGGGGCTTCAGCTCCTGTCGAATATGGGCATGTAGCAGAGGTGCTTGTCAAAGAACCTTTTCCAATGAATATGCAACCAATGAGGTCAATGGTTCTAGCTTACAGGGCGAAACACTCGTCAATGTCCTGAGCATCGACATTTAATTCTTGAATTGACTGTGCTTGTGTACTACAGGCTGATGAACACACGTTGGTCGCCGGTTCGGAACTTGGAGCTGCGATCATTTGCGGAACGTTCCGAGATTGACGATCGCCGGCCGGGAGAATCGAGACCGGAGCGGTTCCAGTGTAAGTCATTCCAGTTCCCGAATCACCCAGATTGAAAGATGAATTCTGACTGGCTGAAATGTGAGGCTGACCATTCTGCTCTCGAATGTTGGACTCGACTTGCTGTTTCAGGAGGTCCAATTCGACCTGCAGCTCTGAAATCAGTATGTGTCGAGGGAAAGTATGGTATGTAAGCAAAGCATACATGCGGCGTTTCACTCTTCGAAAGGCTTTGGAAACGATGCATTCAAGCCCAAATCGTTTACAGCGCGAGCATGGTTGCGAATAGTCTTTGGAAGCGTCACATCGAAGCTGGTGTCTGTCAGCAAAGAACTCTCGACACCGGTTAAGGTGAGATGAGTCGATGGTGCACCTTTTGCTGTCGACATTCAGTACAGGGCTTTGATCCTTGTTCCTTTGATCTCTTCAGATACATGGCTCATGATTCGACGCAGATGAAGGTCGCTGATCAGTAGGATAATACTTTCATTATTGAACAAATCGGAAGTGTAGGTGGGAAATAGTCCCAGTGTCAAGCAGGATCGATCGAGCGCGAACGCCAGTTGATCGTCTTCAGATATGGTGACTGAGCAAGGGAGCGCATCGCCGAATTCGCGAGGGATAGAGGGGAGTTAGCGCGAGCACCGCCCGTTTTGAAGGAAAAGAATCCAGGAGAGTGTAAGAGGACGTCTCTTTTGCTGTCTGGCCTGGGAATATGACCTGCGCCAGCGAACTTGTGCTCTGCAGTAATTGCAGTCTATCTATTCAACAAATTCTACTCAAGAAGTGACAACGGGCAGTGGACGAGCACAAAATCCCTCGCACGATCCCTCGCACGAATGACTGATGCGATATCGTGACCCTCGCGATGTCCACCTGTCTCGCCAGGTCCGCAACGCTCTACGCCGCGCTCAACTTTTCCCCGGAAACCCCTTCATCTCCCGCCCCAAAGATGTAGATCACAGAGTACTTCTTCAATGGGTGACACAACTTCAAGGCCGTTATGAGAAAGAAAGATATCACAGTAAGGCATGTCTAGGCGCTACGAGAACAGGACTGACCGTTTGTCTGTCAGGTCGGATGAAATCTTCCAACGAAGGCTATACGGCAGCTATTAAAGATAACATCGTCACGCAGCAACTCCCTACGACATGTGCCTCCAACATCCTCAAGGGGTTCTATGGCCCCCGGGGTGCCACCGTCACAAGATTACTCGAAAAGGCTGGCATGATCCTCCTAGGCAAAACCAACATGGATGAATTTGGCATGGGTTCGCACACGACCAATTCGGCCTTTGGACCAGTGTTCAATGGGACTTTGAATCGAGACAAAACCAAGAGGAGCCATACTCTCTCCGTTGGGGGCAGCTCTGGCGGCAGCGCTCTTGCTGTAGCTCAAGGACAGGTTCATATTGGCATAGGCACCGACACTGGAGGATCGATCAGATTGCCTGCCGCTTACCTGGGCCTGGTCGGCTTCAAGCCATCCTACGGCCTTATATCGCGCAATGGAGTGGTGCCCTATGCCAACTCCCTCGATACCGTTGGCATCATTGGGAGGTCCGCCTTGGATGTCTTGATCACCTTTGGTGAGCTCGCCCCCCCCCCCCCCCCGGATCTCCTCCCTCTTGTACTCACTGGTCAAGACCTCCTCCAGGTGCCGGACGTCCAAGACCCCACGTGCTTGACTGCGCAATCTCGAGAACGGATCACGTATACAAAAGATCTCCGACGCAAATTAGTGCTGGGGGAAAATTTCCTCTGGACGGCGGGGTCGGCCCGGTTGAATTCCCCGACGGTCTCTAGGAGAAGGCAAGCAGAAATGAAAAGACGCCTGTTCGACGAACAAATGCGTACCCGACGGATAGGTGTCCCATTGGAGTACAACGTCAAGGAGATGCATCCCCTGGTTCGATGGGCGTGGACCGCGACCCTGAGTCATTTGGAATCCCTGGGATTTACCGTCGTCCCTATCTCTCTTCCATCCACGAAGCACGCGCTGTCCTCATATTATATCCTTGCGCCTGCCGAAGCTTCATCGAACCTTGCCAAGTACGATGGGGTGCGTTATGGAGCTCCGCGAGCCGGCAACTCTGACCACGAAGGTGGTACACTCTATTCCCGGTACCGTTACGACCACTTTGGGCCTGAGGTGCGGAGGAGGATTCTTCTCGGCACCTACAGTTTAAGCGCCGGCGCGATGGACAACTATTTCATCCAGGCCCAAAAGATCCGACGGATGGTGCAACGGGACTTTGACTCCGTTTTCAGAATGCCCAATCCACTTCGAGAAGATTCCGAGTTTAATGAAAATGGGGTTGACCTCATTGTGGTTCCTACTGCACCGACGCCTCCCCCACATCTACGGTTTCTGGAAAAGGCTGGCCCTCTCGAATCCTACATGAACGACGTTTTCACAGTCCCAGCAAGTCTGGCGGGACTTCCTGCGATCTCTGTCCCCGGGCCAAGACATCCTGAACACCCATGGAAACCGGAGCTCTCGGTCGGCATCCAAGCGATCGGCCAATATGGTGATGATCATTCTGTTATTTACTTCGCCAGAAATTTCTTGACAGACTTTCATGACCTAGAGAACCTCAATAGAATACAACAGAGGAAGCTGCTGAGCTAATGTTCATTCGAGAACTTGCAAGTCTTGACCATCAAAATGTCGCCAATATCATCATATTTTCATTCGGGTGAGGTGCTGCCGCGCCCTCTTCCTCTCCTCATTTGGTCAGGGTTTTCGACACCTTTCCTCATGTTTTCCCCCTTCCTTTTTCTCTTTTCTCTTCTTTTTAACCCTTCCCTTTAAATAAAACCCCCCATACCATCATTTCTGGATCGCCTTGCCTATTCTTCGCAGATAAGAAACCTTCACATGGAGATGGAAGATACGACGAGCAGTGCTGCACCACTGTTCATGTTCATTCCGGTCGTCATTGGAAGCATTGTCTTGATGATTATTGTATTTTTAATCATTGAGCTGTGGAAGAGGCGTCAGGCAAGGGAAACAGAGAGTACGGAGTAATGGGGCTGCGCACTACCACCCCGGGAGGCAGGTGAAACCAGCCAATTTCAGGTGAAAATGCACCACACACCCTTCGAGATTCCGTACTCAATCAATGATCAAGGATTATTTCCCAGTTCGAATGGCCTTGTTTATTTTCGAAGGACCCTGGGGCAGATCAAGCACGAACTCAAGCCAGGGTGTTCGGGCCCTGACTTCTTCCTGGATGTCAACAGAAATTTACTTCGACCTCACCTGATCTCCGAAACTGCCGCCGTCGCCAATAAGTCTGTCAATCGCGACTTCCCAAAACACAGAGGGCATCTGATTGATCAAAGAGAGCATGAGTCCGCCGAATGGTGACTGGAATTGGAAAGTGACATGAGTCGGTGTAGGGCAGCACTCTTCAAGCGCTGAAATGGCTAGTCGAACACGTCAAGAGGAGATTTTACCTTCAAAAGGGAAATTGATGGGTCGAGACCCTGGTTGAGATCCTCGGCCGGTCTATAGATATATCTACCAAGTGATCGGTACGAGAAGTATCTCCGCCGAATCTGGCTGCCTTCACAATCAAGAGTGTATCGTGTCCAATTCTCGTTATATCCCTTCAAAACAACCGGCCCATGATCCCATGATCCTTCGTAAGTTATCATCAATCGAATAGGGCAGCGACGAGTAACGATCACGTGATATCAATTTTACCGTTCCAATCAATGACCCACGTTTTTGCGTTCCCGCGTTTCACATTCTTTGCTAAATATATCGATTGTCAATTTCAAACGGACAGTTAGTTGAAATGAAGAGCCAGGTCTTCCTGGACCACGAAGCGAGACTTGCTCAGGGGCAGCCACTCGCATGAAATCAATGGCGCGGATATCCTGCCTGAGATCGTTCTGTCGAAAAAGTTGATTGAAATGATAACCCAGGAAAACTGCCCAGAAAGGATCGAAGAAATACGGCTTTCCCGAGGCCAGGGCCCCCTTTCTCATCCAAGAAAGACTCTGAATGGTGAAACTTCGAGCATTATCTGGTAGAAATGAGCATGGACGAATTCCGACATGAGCGGCTTAAACTCTCTGGGAGTTTCATGCGTCTGCTCCAGATACAGGGGGGAACGAAGAAGGATATTATTAGCCTCCGCATCACTCAATATGCCATCCACCGACGACCTGCGTATGTTGCCATATCCTACACGTGGGGCAATGCCGAGCAGACGCGAGAGATTCGAGTCAACGGTCGCCCTTTTCGGGTTCGAGTGAATCTGTGGAATCTCCTACTTCATCTCCGACAGCGAGGCGAATGGCGATTTCTGTGGATAGATGCGCTGTGTATCGACCAGCAGAATCTCGAGGAGAGGAATTTCCACGTCCAGCTGATGGGCAGGATCTACGACAGTTCCGAGAGGGCAATCGTGTGGTTGGGGCTGCCGTCCGAAGATAGAAGGCAGGCCCGCGTCATGGAATTCATCTCCGAGATGGCGAGTTATCGCAAGAAACACTCCCCATCTGCGTTCAGGGATCTGTTCTTGGTCGACGCCTTCGCGCAGCGTTGGACGAACTTGCTCGAACTGTGCAGATGCACTTACTGGACACGAACCTGGATCATCCAGGAATTTGTGCAGGCCAGTGACATTGAAGCCGTCTGCGGCACGGCGAGTCTCGACTGGAAAAACTTCGAAGACGTCGTAAGATCGATACGGGAGATGTCATTATCTTCAACGTCTGAGGCTCCCCTACCCCCATTCGTCCAGCAATTCATGCAGACCATTCCCTTCCGATTGACATCACGACGCATTGCGCACACGGAATCCACTCTCGAGGAATTGCTCTCTGAATTCTACGACTCTAGATGCGCAGAACGGCGCGACAAGATCTACGGGGTCCTCGGCATCGCCGACGACTGCGGTGAGGATCCTGCCACCGGTGTCTGTCGTGGGCCGCGGCCAGATTACTCGAAGCACATTGTCGAGGTATACTTTGAAGTCTTCAAGTATCTGCGTCCATCCCCAATGCGGCCAAATCTCCCACTGCAAGCTGTCTGCCTGGCACAAAAGGCATTGGAGATAACCCAGGCCGATATTGCGAGTTATGTGGCACCTATGGCCGCTCGGGGCGATGAGAACGCCTTGCTGAACACAAACTTATCGGAGCTCAGTTGCCCACTCGTTCCAGACTACGTTAACGTCATCGACGAGATTCTTCCCGGCTGGACCAGCATGCGCGACCTACGCCAACGTCTCGAACAGGTCGACTGGGCAAAGTACGTCGGCCACGAAGTCAAGCGCAAAACACTCCGTCCCCCGCAGTCGTCTCAGCGCAAATCCAGTTTCACGACTCCCTCCAATGGCGGCACCTCAAGCAAGCAGACCGAGTACATCCGCGCACCGCTGCCGGCAGACCTGGTCGAGAATGTCCTCGACGCAGCCTCGCATAGTGACGAACTTCTGCATCTATACAACTACCCTTCGTCCCAGGGCTGTATGGTTCCGGTCGAACACATCCTCTTGCACACGGAAGATAAACGACGTGCCTCAAATCCCAACCTCCTGAAACCATCCATCGTGATAGAGTCGAATCCCGCCCTTGGAGTGGATCCGGTCCGAGTTGGTTTCGCATGCACGGATGTGCGTCCTGGCGACCTGATCTGCCAATTCCACGGCGTTGATGTGACTCTAATCGCCAGACGTGTGGGTGGTGGAGGCGACTTGAAGCTCGTCGGCCTTGCCAAAATGATCTCCCATCTCGCTCTGAAGGAAAAGGGCGCTCATCCCGGTTGTAAGAGCGGTGATGTCACAGGGAAAGGATGGTCTGGAATCGTGCATTCGAGCAAAGAACAGGCCTTGGGAAACGAGGAGAACTGGCAAATGCGCACCGATCCGCTTAGTCTGTGGGAAGTGCTTGGTGCAGGCTGAGGTTGTGCAGGGAGAGACTTTGACGCTTCGTTTTGATATCCGAAAAGTATGTTCTGCGAGAAAATTCTAATCAGCACCAGCTGAACTTTTGCATGAGCAGAAAGGCAGACTGACGCTCCAAGCTTGAAGGATGGGTTAAGCGCAGTTACCCTCCATCCAATCTTCGTTCTATTAAGGAGTGTCAGTTCCTGCCAAACCCGGGGCCGGCAACAAGAGAAAAGAGATTTCATTATGCGTAAGGTACCAAAATGGGGTATAGTTTTCTTTTCCCCGGCGCTGGGAGGGGCAAATATCTGGCCTATATCCTCTTCAGTGGACCAACATGAGAATTCGGCTGTCCTCTGACGTGCTATGAAGCAAATTCAGAGATCAAGACGAAAAGATTGGTTGGAGGCTACAGGGCCGAGGAAGAAAATGGAGTCGGTGGGATACGCAACAGAAACAAGGACTGCGAGCGGAATTGTCAGCACAGGTATAAATTGATAGATCTCACCCTGAAGCCAGAAAGGAAAGGAGTTTCAGGCACTGAAATTTATTCTTGATTGATTGATTAACTGATTCATTTCATGTCCTGTAGTCGAGGTCTTTCATTCCATTCGTAATGTCCTTGATATCTTCGCGGATGCAATTCTCATTCAACCCGTAACATCCATCGTATCATCGCCATCATCCCTCAGTTCGTCGACAGCCATTGCATTCCCCCCGTCTTGCCCCTGCCTCTGGCCGGCTCCTGCTCGATTCCTTCCCGCCAACAGCTCACGTCTGACCTCGGGTCCAATGTCCTTATGCCCTCGAGTCAGCAACAGATCCAACAATGCCTCGCGTTGGTCCTCTGTGATCTCATTCCTGTACGTCTGCGCGAAAATCAGTAGACTCTGGTGCCACAGCACGGGGAGTTTCGCCTCTTTACTCCCCAGTCCGGCTTTGGCGTCGGAATTCGGGTCCTTCGATGCCCGGAACCGGAGAAAATGGAACACCAGACCGTCGACGACCTTGTAAGGCAGTGCATATTTCTTCGCCAGCAGAACACGGATAAAGATATTCGCAGCCCCCGCGGCCTCGCTGTTGACGTTGGACGTTTGCTCGGCCGAGATCTCGCATAGGCGCAGCAGTGCCGCAGCGGAGTGAAGCACGGGGATCTTGATCTTGGCCAGCACCGATGAGACGATATGTGCTTCGCGGAGGGTGCAGCTGGACTGGACGAGTGGGAATAAGAAACCCTTGAAGAACGCTGAAGGTCGGTAGAAGGCCGCTTTTAGCGCGTTGTACAAGTGCACGTTGAGCTTCTTAGTCTCTTGGATGTCCTCTCTCACGCGGTCGAGGAGGACGGTCTCGCAGAAATACTGGCCCGTTGCGGCAGGGGCGGAGATAAAGACTTTGGTTGCGCGGTACAAGGCGTGTGGCGTCCAGGAGTCCGGGCGGGCGATGGAGAGGAGTTCTGGCCATTGTGGAAGGGTCGGGAGGACTTTGAAGGGCTTGGGAAGGGGTCCAGATTTGTACCGCGAGAGAAGCTGGCCGACTTTGGTGAAGGTGTCGACTACCTTTAGGGGAATCTCAACAGCGCCTTCTACCGGACCGGAGCCCGTGAACGTCGGCTGCGGTTGAGAGCCAGCATGGCGGGCGGCGTCCCGGGCTTCTTTTTCAGCGATCCTCTGCAGGATCAGGTTGGCTAGGTTGGTTGTCTGGCCGTCTCCGTTTTCTTCTGCGGATCGAGGTAGACCATCACCCGGCCGCTGGTCTCCTGTTGTCAGGTTCGCTAGTGACGGTGTGAAATCTCCCAGCTCTTCGCCAGATTGGAGGAATCTCTGATACACCGCCATGTCTTCTGGGTCAACATCATCTTCAGCGACATCCCCCTCTTCCTCTGGCATCCACTCTTCTTCATCGTCATATTCGCCCCTTGTACCATCGGTTTCTTCCTCGTCTTTTCCAGCAAATCTTGAATCGAAGCCGAATGCATGATTCGTGGAGGTTGAGGACTGTGTGTTCACAAAGCGATCCTGTGCGTCTTCGTCTGCCAGATCTTGCGCAATTGCTAGAATCTTTCTGGACGATCGAGCGTCGATATATCTATCGCCTTGGGCATTCTCATCAGATCTGGATTTTCTCTTGCCTGTGATTGATTTGGTTCGTAGACGTCCACTGGAGGTCGTGATGTCGTCCTCCAGGGGGTTGTGATGTCGAGCGGTAGCTGTCTTGGACATATTGGTAGTCTTCACAGATTCTGACTCGATATTGAATTGTAAAACCACTGTTACGGAACCTGGTGCTGTCGACAGGAATGAGGACGCAGAAATATTCAGACCAAGAATTTGAGTGCACAGGGAATTTTACGCGGGTGCGCTTAGTCATCATCGTTAAATCCTGCATTCTAATTTCGACAATGACGTTTCTATCAACGGCGGGGCGAGATTGAAAATGATCTAATCCACACACCACGAATGAAGAAGCAGTGGGAAGTATCATTCGGGTATCTGCACGGACAGGCTCTCTGGTGTGAAGATTTACTTGCTCCATAACCTCGTAGAAAAGACCGGTCCTGATCTGCGTCGAGCCTCAGATGGGCTGTCCTTTCAATATTCAATCGAAGGGCCGAATAATTCGAGCAGAAAATGACGACGCTACATTAAAGGAAGAGAAACAGGTCGTTGAGACTAAAGCAGGGGGGGCTGGTAGTCTTGCACGGCAATCAACATGTGAATGACTGGAGATCATCTACCAAAACACTTGGTCCAGGTCCCGCAATAGTTGCCATAAGTCCAGTCATAGTAGCTGAGCCTCGAGTTGTAAATTTTGATGTTGAATAAAATGAGTTGTCGCAAAGCTGCGAATACTGCATATCAAATTCACGGTTCGGCCCCAACTCTCAGTCTCCGTAGCAGGTGAAATATATGAAATGGGTCAACAGAATTTCCTTTTCCGCAAGATTGAATTGGCCACGTAAACCTTTAGGAGGATCACTTCCGAGCATTTCCAATAGAGGTAGCGAGAACTCATATATGTAAATGAGTATTGGTTTGTACGATGTGTCAGTCACCAAAAGAACCGACGATATTGATAGGATATTCCGTAATAGGGGGCCGGAGAGACGGAGATTGAAGGAAATCCATCTAGGAAGGAGGCTCCAGCCTCGTGGGCTCCTTTGCTAAGGCGAAAGATTTAGCAGCAAAATGTAGGACAAGATCGAAAGTTCATGGTCGAGTTGTGAATTCAACTTGGCGCCCAACATGAGTACAACAAGATGAGTGAACCAGATAGCACCAGAGAATGGTTCACCAGACTGTCAATGACGATGAGGAAATGTGGATATACGGTTTGGACGGCAGATGCAGTTGTCCACTGTCAATGCGCCTGTCAGTCGAGACTCGAGAGTGGTTTGTAGTGGTGCAGCCGGAGTCTTGGGTCGACTAGGCTTGCGGGGTCGTGTCCAGGGTGGGGAAGATAGGTTTTTGTTAGCGTTGTGTGGTTGACGACATGGTGATGAAAGGCGAGAGACAGCTGGAGATGCAGATAGTCACCGCAATATCAGTTGGTTGTTAGTATTGGGGGAGTGTGCCACATACCTACATCATTGTACCAGGTAGCGCAATTGAAACCGCTTTGCAGCGAGGGTGATAGGGTACAAAGTAGTTTCTTCAGCTCAGAGAGAGATAGGGGCATCCGATGCTGAGGCAAGTTAACCGCGCCACCTTCCCTAGTATAGGTAGTACGCTGGGGAGGTCCTTGTTAATTTATACCGAACCAAGGGTAGCACTCGAAGCTGTTTTGCTCTCGGGGTTTTGCCTCCCCGTGCCCTCCGTCGCAGGTTGCAACCTTACATAACCCTGACCACGCCTACATAGTACGTAGGCCATGCCCAGGACTGCCTAGATGCTGGGTACGGTAGCTACCTAGCCAGCTCTCTGCATGCGCTTAGTGAGGGCTGGACCTGGTCGACTGTTACCGTACTCCATAATATTGGCTCCTCAACTAGGGCAATTTAGCATTTGGCATCAGACAGAAGGAAAAAAGGCTGGTGCCGTCTGTCAGCCACAGGCCATGCTGAATCTTCTTCCGCGACTAGAAAATACCTATCAATCCGTCTTCCTCCACGTTTTTCTCACCTCGTATTCAGCTGTCTAATCTTCCACAATCATACCCAACAACCGTTCGTCCTCATTCTCCTCCGCGCCGCGCGACATAGCAACAATCGCTTCTCCGTTTCCATCTTCGTCGCCATCGCGCTTCTCGCTATCCCACTCTCACCCTCCCCTCCTATCACCATCCTCCCCAGCCAACCCACCTAGCGCCTACGCACGACAGAGCCAGACGGTAGCCAATCTGGACCCCGACCGAACCCCTTCCACTTTGATCAAGAAATTCAAGATTCCTCCTTCCTTCTCCGGCTTCAATATTTCCTCTCTCCTTCCCAGCTCCCTCCTCGTCAGAAAACCCATCATTCCTTTGTTTCCCCCTCCTAATTCGGCCATCCCGAGCCTTCGGCCGAACGAACCACCAACTACTATCCTCCCCCAATCTTTAACCCACCCGAGTTGTCCTATCTTGTCCCCTCCCTCGGTTCCCCGACCTTTCCAACCTGCCAAACCTCGACCCTCCGTCCGCTCCTCGAAACAAAATCTTCCTCTTTAATATCACGGCCTAACCGAGATTCTCAACTCTATAGTATACGCCGCCGTTACCTTTGGTGGCCCGTTGACGCCTTCTCTCCTTTGCGCGACCTCCTCCTTTTCCTTCCGGAAAGGAAACCCCCCCAAACCCAGAGCCGCAACTCTTTACTGACACCACCACCTCCCATATCCTTCCCACACCTCACACACCTCCCTCGTTCGCCATACCTTCACGCTTGACACCAGATCTTTCCCGATCCGAGCTCAACAAGGGCACGTCACGACTGTTCATCGGCCAGACAAACTCTTTGTGATACCTCCTCCGGCTCCCGAACACGCCTGCGTCGCGGAGCCTGAATGCGCCCACCAACAACCCATCCTTGATCGCAAATCCTGACTGAAAACAACCTGTCCTTTCCATCCACACCAATGTGTGGCCCGCTCCACCCTCGGTGCAATGAGTTGATGCCTTGCATGACTTGAAAATAGCACATTCATCGACGCGTACCGACTCCACGAAAAACAGAGCTCTGAAAAAGGACCATCATGAGTACCCTCCTCCAAACTGCTCCAAGAAATCCTTTCGGCTCTCCTATCGAACCTCCACCAAGACCCAGATCCATGGCTATTCTACCTCAAAACAGTAATACCTCCCCTAAATCGAGTCAAGAAGATTCGACGCAGATGACCTCTCCCGCCCCTCCGAATATGGGCCCCCCGGGGCAAGGGAGTCCCGAAGTGGAACAGGGAAATAATGCCAATGGCAATCGGGACCAGAATGCTCTCCCCGCAAATAGTGCCGCCGCGGCGGGGGCCGTGGGAGCGTCACAAGGACCAAAAGTGGTGCAGACGGCTTTCATTCACAAGCTCTACAGCATGCTGGAAGATCGCAGCATTCAACATCTGATTTCGTGGTCGAACACCAACGAAAGCTTTGTCATGTCTCCCTCGAACGAGTTCTCCAAAGTCCTCGCTCAGTATTTCAAGCACACCAACATATCCTCCTTTGTCCGCCAACTGAACATGTACGGCTTTCACAAGGTCAGCGATGTTTTCCATACCGGTTCCCCCGAATCCGCCCTTTGGGAATTTAAACACGGAAACGGCAATTTCAAGAAAGGTGATTTGATGGGCCTGAGGGAGATCAAACGGCGGGCCTCTCGGCACACGTTAATTCATCGAGATTCATTCTCCAACGCGAAGCCGGGTGTGTCGCAACCCGGTACCCCCGCCGAAGTCATGCCCGATGCCGATCAGCGCCTGGCCGGACTGGAACAGGCATTCTACGATGTCCACGCCAGACTACAAAGGACAGAAGAGAGTTACGCCTTGATGAGTTCGAAGTGCCAAGCGCTGACCGAAGGGTTGGTGCGATGTCACCAATGGATGCACAATTTCACGAGCGCAGTTCAGACTCTGTCGTCCCCGGATACAGCCTTGTACGCGGACATCATGAACATGCAGAAAGAGATCGCGCGACAGCTGGAGTTTGTCCGTGCTCTCGAGACACCTCAGGAGTCACTGCAGAACGGAAGACAGGCGTTTTATCCCAACAACGGAGCATTGGAACCACCGCTTTCGCCACGAGGGTTCAATTGTCCTGACAGTCGGAGATCTTCTGTGCAGATTGAACCGCAACATGTGGGGTTGCGACCTCCAGTTCCTCCGATTCCGCCGCAGTTTTCGTCTTCCCCGCGACGGTTTGGCTCGGTCAGCATCCCACACGTCTCGCCAGGATTCAGTCGTCCTGCTCTTCCGCCACAGCCGCCACCGAGCGTACATCCTTTGGCATCCGTGGTCACTCCGCCCCCGCTGAACCTCGCCCGGAGACACACGTCAGCCGATATTCGAGAACACGGCTGGCCGCCGGGCAATGCGACTGGATCACCTTACGCCTCGGGACAGTCATCGGTGCATTGGCAACCGTCGTCGCCTCAGCAGGCGCCCCAAGCGGGAGACCAGCAGATTCGAGACCAACTCGCCCAGTACGAGATCAATGGTCCGAAACGACAAAATGCGACCGCGAACCAACCGACGCCGCCGCTCACCTCCGAGGCTCCTCCTGCCGGGCTGGGAGTGGAAAATGTTTCGTGGACGTTGGGAGGAAATAAATTTCCTCGTCCGAATTTTGAGTTGCATTCGGCTCCGGCTACCCGCAGGGGAAGTATGGCGACATTACACTCTCTTCTCAATCCTGCCGAAACTGCAGAACAGGAAAATGAGGATGAAGGTTCTAACGACGACCGAAAACGGAAACGACTGCAATGAACGTCTCCTCTATTATACCTTTGTTCCGAAGAATACCCCCCCCCCCCCCCCCCGTTTGTAAATAATGAGAAGGCGATTTGGCGTTGGACGTGTTTTGAATAGGGTGGATTTTATGGGACGGAGAAATCCCAGATCACAACATGTTACGGTCGACAAAAATCTTTATGGATGAAACCACGACACAGAATCGGTGGACTTTTGGATATGGTGGAACCTCGTTTGGATGGATGGGAGAATCCTTGTCCCGAAATGGAAATGGATGAGAACTCCCTCGAGAGGTTTTCGTGCATAGTTTGCATATCCAGCGATGGGTTGGTGGTGCTGTTTGGAGTCGAGTTGAGAACGACAAGCAGCCAGAGTTGCAAATATATTCATTCGTTCCAATACTTGCCATTTCTCTTTTCTCTTTCCTCTCATCCTTCGGATTTTTGGTTTGGATTATTCTTGTTCAGTGCCTTGTTCATTTTCTTGTTCTTCTTTGTTGCTCGGATCGCCAGGATTTCGTCAAGGTAGCTTGTGCCTCGCTTCTTTGTTGAACATGCTTCAAGATCCGTTTTGTTAGGTGCAGGTTTCGCCATGTCAGTGTCAGCCGTGTCTGAATTATTCCCGTGGTTTTGGGTCGCAGTCTCGATCTCGGAAGTACGTCGTGATTCAATTTGGTCTTGGTTAGATGTCTTCCGCTTCATGCTTTTGCCCTTCCCAAGCCCTGACCGCCCCTCTTCTTCGTCATCGCTATCACCTCGTTTTACTGCGAAATTCTTCCTCGGTCGGGGTTTTTGGGTCGTAAGATTGTATGCGTCGCGTTGGCCGTGGAATAATTGTTTGCGCAAGAAGGTCGTCGTCTGGTCTGGGCCCTCCGAGAGGGAAATTTTGGAGGTTTGATCTGCAGCCTCCTGGAAGCCTAGACCGCCGCTGTTCAGGTGCACTCGTTAACCAGGTGGAGTTTGAAAGGAGAATGCTAGACAACATACGTCTCCGAATATTTGGCTGCATTGGCAGTGAAATCCATATCATCCTGTTCCACATCATCTCCCTCCCTCTCCGGCTTGCCAAAGGCGCCAGTGAGCCATGACTTTGCAAGCCTGGAAGCCTCTGCGTGGAAGAGTAGGGCTTCGTTTGTGGCTATGTCGCTTTCTTTGACCTGCTCTTTTGCCAATCGTGATCCAGAGGTCATGGCGCTACATCTTCTACGGGGATCTGAGAATAGAAGGAGGAATGAGGCTGGCTGGCGTCTAGACGCTAGTGGTTGCTGGAAGTTATGAAGACGTGCCGAGCGGCTATCTAAAAAAATTTCAATGCGCGGGACATACATACACCCCCGCCTTCTTGAAATGCGACCCACGTTTCTATTCAGTTCCTGAAGTCAATTACGAGCGGCGATGATGAGAGGCATTGAATGACTTGAATGCTACGGGATCCGAATTTCTAGCTCCGTAACAGATCGCAATGTTGACTTTTCTTCCCGGACACTCGCCGGCAAAAATCCCTGATCAGCGTGAATCCGGAATGCAATCTTCTATATTCCATGTGTCCAGTATATGGCCCAGGACGAGCTTCTACCGTCAAATAGATGTCTATCGGCCCATTTCAGCCCTGTTCCTCCATCTTGTCTGAGGATGGTCAAGCGGTTCCGGGGACGAAACTAGCAGCTATAGAAAAGCTCGTCGACGCATTCACTTTGTCTGGATCTTCAGGCGATCGAGCTTCAAACCGCAGATTTCGTCCTTCGATGATCAAGCACAGGTCGAACTCGATCTCATAGAAGGTGTATGCTTCCCCTTCAGAGTTTCTATGAGTGACTGGTCGGATTGGATTCTCCGTTCTCATTATCAGAGACGTCAAGTCAACCAATATTCTACCAGCCTCTTCAGCACCTAGAGAGAGCCACCAAGATGGCATTAGTTTTTAAGGAAAGACGAAAGGTTTTTTTACGACTTGACCAGGTTTCTTACTGACCTCGGTTCTCAGCATGTCGCTTTCGATAACCAGACTCATGCCGTCGGCCTGAGACATACAGGGTTTCCCAACAAGTCAACCGTGCCCGGGAAGGCTTAAATGTATGCCTCCTGTTGACGCGAATTGTACCCGACGGAGGCAAGACATCGCCCTGAAGCGAATGCGGTTAGCATGCTGAGAATGGACGAATTTGGGACTCTGTCACCCACTTTCAAGATTTTCCAATGTATGGTGTCATAAATGTATAATTCCCCGTCCACTAGGTCTCTCCGTCCGCGGAGTCCTTGATGGAGAGGAGATTCCTTGTCGTACAGATCCGTACAAAGAACTCCGTAGCTTGTTCGAGTGATGCGGACAGGGCCATTTTCTTTGTTCAGGGCTCGCAAGATAGCCCCGCGCGCGACAGCTGAATCGATGGAATGGGGACGTATCAGCTCGATAGGCTGGCCCAGGAGATTTCGTTCTTTGGACAGGACGTCTCTGAGGTGATTCTGGAGGGAAGGCGACTCGCCAAAGCCGCCAATCAAAATGACTTTTTGCACATTGAATCCCCGAGCTCCCGCTCCCCGGGCTTCGTCTCGAGCTTCCTTTGCTTGCTGGAGCTGCTTGCGCATCAACTTCACGACGCCTCTGAGACACGGTTTGAAGACTTCCTTCATTTCCGGTCGAGTAAAGTGGAGGCTGCCTTTGGGATGACCTCCATCGCCCTGGAGGGCCTGGAGCCCCTGGATCCGCATGCAGTCGAATATCTCCTTCCTATTGGTTATGTCAATCTCCCTCTTCGGCCCGTTCTCCCACTCGATCACCTTGGAGTCGATGATTCGCGTCAGAGGTAGGTCATTTCCAAGAAACTCAGCTCCTTCCAGTTTGTTCTCCAGCAGTTCGCGGAATCCGTCATTGAGAAAACTGGATCCGCAAGAAGCGCCATCCGAAGGTACCACCTCCTTCAGTCGCACTGGGTCCGTTTGAAGTACCTTGTATGTGATTGCATCCACGGTGCCTCCACCGCAATCCAGGAGCAGGAACGTCTCTCCTGGGCTGATTCTGGATGCGTAATGGTTATCGGCTAGAGCGTACGCCGCCGCAGCCTCGGGCTCTGCAACAATGAACAAGTCCTTCACACTCCCATTTTCAAGTTGACCGAGCTGTGATGTCTCAATGGCCCTTGCCATTGCTTCCTGCATCCGTCGACAAGCTTGCTCGGTCCAGAGCGTGGGTACGCAGAGAACAAATTCAACGGCCATGCCCTCCTGAAGACCATGAGAGCTCACCAACTGGTTCTTAGCGTGTCTGAAAAGTTGGCCGAGGTAATCGGCGATGGTGTCGACGGGCTTTTGCACCAGACCAGCATGTTTCAATGCCTTCAAGTCCATCATGGCTTTCTCCCGAAGACTTTGTGTACTATTCTCTTCGTCTAAAAGCAGTTTGAATCTGGTTACGTGCTTTGCCTTTTGTACAATATCATCTGGTTCGGCCAACCTCTTGTGAACACCATATCCCCAGACAGGGCTCCGTCTGAGAGGCCGTCCCTGGTGTTGAATTGCAGGCTGATCGTTCTGGGTGTCAGAGGTGTCCGGTGTGGAAGAAGGTTGTCCCTCCTCGTCTAGTGCAGAAGAATACTCATCCTCCTCAGCAGGCTGAGACTGGAGCCCCCGCCCACCGTTTTGGGTTGGACTGACTCTCGCCGTTGGATACCATAATTCTGAGGGAACAGTGGTAATGCCTTCAAAGACATGGGGCATTATCCCAGGGGGTTTGTCTGGGTAGTGGTCGATGCACCGGATCTCCTGGGGTGGTATAAGATCCTCCTGCACACCCGGATCGACTCGAAGGAACGACACCGTGGAGAAGGTGGTACCAAAATCGACAGCAACGATAAATTTGGAAACGGCAGGACCTCGTGATGCTAGTTCTGCTGGACATCGCGGCTCTGATGAGGCGGCTGACGTCTGATCGTTGCCCCGAGCGTCCTCGTTTCCCTTCTCTGCGAGACGTTCATCATCCAGAGCAGCTACATCTGGCATATCAACATCTTCGGATCGGTCTTCCCGGAAGATCCTCACGAATCCGTTTTCGGGAAGCTGGTGCATGTCATTGTCTGCCATGACTTGCTCGACCACTTCGGTCTGCTCAGGAAACAGTCGCGATTTTGGACTTGGTCAGAAGGTGTTGAGAAATGACAGCCGCCGTAAAATCGGTGGAGAAAGCAATTGTCACACGCGGCCGGGCAGTGGCCTCGTAGATGGTCATGACCTTGGGAGTGGAAAACGCCTTGTTGCCTTGCACCATTCTCAAAGCGAATACTGATGCACATTCAAGGGTTAATACGGGTCTCTATGGGGCTAACAAACCCCGTTTTGATACACAATGAAGCGACGGGCCGGTCAACCCGCAGGCGCGCTCGCAGGGGGTGTGTGCCACACCTTCCAATAAAAGTTGCGTATTGGCAGGGCTGTGATAACACTAATTGGCCACGACAGGGGAACTGAGCACTTTTCAAGCTTTGCAAGGGTGTATAGAGATCGTGAGGTGGTATCTGGGTTTCTTGAAGACGGGCAACCTCCCCCCTCCCCCTTCCCGAAGAATTCTTTCTCGCAAATTTCTCGCCGCAATCCAGGTCAAACAAATGGCTCAAAGACAAAACCTCCCGCAGATGGCTTATCCTTTAGAATGGTTCGTTAAAGACAAGCACCTGTACGCCCCTGCGCAGATTGAGATTCTAGCATACCTTGACTACACTGTTCTCGAGGCATTTACACCGACAATATCTGAAAAGGATATTATCCCACATCTTGAAAGAACTCTCCAAACCAGACTCACATGTGGCGAAGTCAAAGAGAAACTAGTTTATCTTTGGTATCACACCGGCCCACCCAACGCCAAAGCCTCGGATTATACACAACTCTTCAAACGAGGCTCTAAGGCCTTACCGCTATTGAAGGCCGAAGTTGCAGACGAAGTACGCAGAAGAGCTCGGAATCTGTGTATATCCCCCCCGCCTCGTCGGCTGAGAAGTGCCTCGTGTACTCCCAATTCTCTCCTTACACCAACCACTACAAGGGCCGTGAAAAGACCTAGACATAGAAAGCGACCCAAAAACAAGACAGCCAGACACCATTTCATCACATCAAAGCCAGTCCAAACGGACCACGGAATTCCTTCGGTGAGTGACAAGGGATATGAAACGTCCCCAGAGTTACGCTCATAACTGACCATCTTCAGCCACCCATTGAGGAACAGATCAATCCATATGTGTCCACGCCACAACCTCGTGTCAAGTTCGAGCGATCTCTGTTTGAGGACTCAGATGGCCAAAGTCCGACGAGAAACATTTCAGGTGGCGCAAGCCCGCTGGGCGACAAAAGGCTCGAACAAACTCGACGGAGCTCGATGACGAGCACTAGTAGTGATATGAGCGTGTCAAGTGGCAATGCCATCACGCGAGAAGACTTCGAGCCAAGTCCAGTTCCCTCACGCTACAGAAGCGTTGAAACAGTCCTCCGCTCCGGGCTTGATAACCGTCAGAATCTGGTAAATGGACTGGAGGATGAGAGAGATCGGGAGCATCGTGAAATTGAATATTGGCGCGTTCGATGCGGGCGTGCGGAGCAGGAATGCATCGCTTTAAAGACACGGAACCACCGCCTTCAAGTATGCTCATTGGAAGGACTCGAACAACTCGACGCTGCAGAGAGCACCACGCTTCGAAAACTAAACGACCAATTAAAACAAGAGCTGGCCATTGTCCGATCAACTTTGGCATTTTCCACGCGAGGTAAACTGCCCTTTCCATCCGTCAACACAACGACTATTTTGGACGATATGACGGCGATCCGAAGCAAGCTCCGTGATGTCCTCATCGGAGAAGATGTTCTGTTTTCCTTTGACAGAATGCAGGTGGTAGGGCATGCTGATTTCTTCACGCTTTTCCAAGCGATCTTCTCCGTTGATTGCCACCAACCTGTGAACGCCAGTTCAATTCAAAAACTCTTGAGCGGTGTCCCCTTGAGGTTCGTACTCCAGTGTTTAGTCTCGGCCGCTGTTTGTGGCTGGGTACTTGAAGCCGACGTCGGCTGTTTGTTCCAAGAGTGCGACCGCGTGTATTCGAAACTTCGGGGCCTTCTTATGGTACAAGGTACGTGAAATCTTTCAAGCATTCCAAGTCGCCGTCTAAGGATCTTGCAGATCGGGAACTTGCCCAGAGCTTCGAATTTGCCGCACATCAGTCTGTCATTGATGATCCCAGCATGAGTGACTTTATTATCCCAAACAAAGCTCGATATCTTGCCCAGAAAGTTTTGCAATGTCTCGCGCCTTTAGTCGAAAATCCAGGACCGGCCGACGATGGTTCCCCAGACTTGGTCACGGCTTGGTTTAAAGAGAAAGACCGCTTGATATACATTTTGGAATTAGCACTGCGAATCAAGACTCGACTTTTGATAAGCACAGACTTGTATAAGTGCACCTGGCATGCAAGTGGAACACCATTCATCGCGGACAGCATGGTGCCTGAATCCGATAGTGCCTTGTCGAGCCCAGGGCGCGGTGCTTTGGTCGGGTTCACATTATTGCCGGGGATTCAGAGATGTTCTGCCAGTGAAAGGGATTTCAGCTACAATCGATTCGTGAAAGACGCCCAATCCCTCGAAGCAATGACATGGGAGCCTCTGTCAAAAGCGGTCGTCCTTTTGATGTAGCAACACTTGAATACATAGACAAAACTTAAGCAGCCATCTTTTCGGTTTTTTTGGGAGGGGGGTTGTAAACTGCAACAGGTTACAGTCCCCTTTGGCTCTTCTTATAGGCCGATTTACCAATCAGATCTTGAGCCCATGAGATGCAGGCGTCAAATGAAACCTTCTAGTAGAGAGGTTGATTTTCAGAGGGGGGGAAGGGGGCAGAGGGAAGGTCGCAAACATGGTCGCAGTCACCCTACATTAGCGCCTTTGGTCTAGTTCATGTCTCCATGGCCCCTTTGACTCATCTGGTCATCGATTCATGTTCCCTGGCCGCCTTCCCAGGCAGCAAGTTGACATGGAACCTGATAAAAGGTGGCTTGGGTTTCTGAAGTCATGTATCCCTGTCGAAACTCTGTTTACTGGTCAGCCGCGCGCATAGGGATTGTGTGCTCCGTACCTGCACCTTCTTACATACGCGATACGATGCTTCTTCTGTTTAGACCGTGTCCATGACAGAATGCCCCAACCAGAACTCACGCCCGATCAATATCAGAATCTCCTGAGGAAATACCGTATCGGTTTCGAAGGGCCGACAGCCCCTCGCAAGTGGCCGAGAAACTATGCAGAAACCTTCAACGCCATCCATCAAATTAGTCGGATATGGATGGAGGATTATGTTACAGACCCTGAGCATGACATTCTCCCCATAAGAGAGAAGAGAGAACGAGTAGCTCAGCTCATGAACTCCGCCGCTCTCTGCCTGAGGCGATCGAACACCAACGAGAAGGAATGGAGAGATGAAACTGAGGCCAAGGTCTTTGCCCGATTCTTTTCTGAAGTTGTCTGGTAAATTTCGCAGCCCCTTGTCGTGAAGTCTCTAACCTAGCTCGAAAGCCGCTCCTGTCGGAATTATTTCTGGCTATCAGATTTTGAAGCTTGGCCAAATGACGAAGAGGCTGTACGGAGGCTTCGGCGGCAACGCGATCAAAGACGCCTTTGTCACTGCAGCCTCTTAGATCGAGCACAGTCAGATACGTACGGTTCCTCGTGCCACCATTCCGAGTGGATATGGCTAACTGCTCGACAGTGAGGACGATGGTCGAGTCCCGCTCTTCTCAAGCAGGTCTGATGTCAGGATCTTTCACGAAGACATGGAAGATCTCGAAAGAGAGGGTCTGAAGAAGCAGAAGCCTGATCGAGTGATTGGCTTGGGACCGTCTCGATCTCTTGACTATTACACCCGCTTCCGAGGGAATACTCACAGCCCGTTTAATGGCGGAGACGTCTTTTATCCTTTCATTGTGATCGAAGCAAAGCCGGAGGCCGGGCCAGGATTCAAAAGTATTGAACGCCAATCGGCTTTCTCGGTTCGGACCTGTTTGAGATTGCAGCAGAAGCTTCAAACTGATACTCGAATCCCACATCAATGCTTGGTTTGGTTCTTCGCTTTCCAGGGCGAGGAATGGCGACTATATGCGGCGCTGCCCGCAGAACATAGAACGGTCAGTCGAATACTCTCTTCATTCGGAATAGTACAGACCTGCTAAAGCGGAGCCAGCGCGTCATTGATCTCTGGCATGGAACGATTCTTTCAGAAAATGGGGCCCTGCAACTCTGTCTCATTGTTGACTATCTCTGCACCTGGGCCCGAAATGTCTACCGAGACAGCATCCTTACCTGCCTAGCTGGAGGCAGGGCGAACCTACGAAGGCTCACAACGCCGATTAGCACACATTTTCCGTCACAGGAGAGCGAGGCCGATGTTTCCTCTCGTTGGGAGATCGAGTCTCTCCCAGTAAGATTATCGCAAGGTCCTCCTGACCACAGAAATGGTGTAAATCGTGGGGGTGCTGTCGGCCCTCCACCCGACCCCATGGACACCGATGAAGAAGATGACCACCCCGCCGCCACGACGGGTCAAGAAGACACATTTCACTGGCTGCGGTGGACGAGCCTGGGAGAGGATTCTCCGCCATGGGCCCCAAGGGCCACCATTCGACATTCAAATCTGGTACAAATCACCTTTCAAGGCCTGAACCTCCCCCCTGATCGACAGAAGCTGCGCCGATGTTTGGAAATGTGCTTTTCCAACCTCCAAGCGGAAGAAGCAGCTCGACGACTAATAGCAACATTGCTCAACGAGGACATTTCCGTCACCACAAGCAGCAACATCATGCTGAGAAAAGACCATCGTCAAGGAGAGGCTCACTTTGCTGTCAAGGCCTTCATATATTTTCGGACCTTTTTAAGACCCGCTGACTGGCAGATTGAGCGGCGACTGTTGTACATCACGTGTAGCCGGAAGGCAATGGAGGTATTGGCGAGCATTGCAGAAACAACCGATTTGACTCTGGAGTATCCGGATACCTGGCGGTCTCACGACTGCGAGTGCCTGTTCCGAGTGACAAAAAGCCTCAACCTGTTCGGCGGAAAGGAATCGGCCGGACTGGCATTGTCAGAGCGACAAATGTGTCTGAAGCTTGCCAATGGAGATTCACATGTCCAGCTTGTCCAATACAAACCTGGAGGGACCGGAGGAAGATTGACGCCGAGCGATCTTGAAATGGTGTCCCAAACCATTGCAAAGTCGGAAAACTTGGAGATCTGTATGACCGAGCACCGTACGCCATATCGGGTCCTCTCGAGTCGGATAGATGCTGAAATATCGGCCGACGTCCTGGATCTGCCAGATTTGGGAAACTGTCGCGGTGTTTTAATCAAGAAGCCTGGCGGTTGGCCATCGGCGACTCCAGAATTTTGCTTCTTGACCACCGATGATCAGGTCAACTTCGAAGACGTAGCCAGCGTGGGAAATATAATCCAAGAGACTAGAGACAGGGCCGTCATGTTTGGAATACGGAGTGAGAAAATCGCGGCCGCCGACGACCTCTTCCTCGATCGATGGATCCAAATTCTTCAGGGCAAGTTGCCGGACTCAGCACCTCTACCATGAGTAGACTGAGATAGTCAACACTACCACACAATACAAAATCGAATTATTCTCCCCGAATTGTAATCGCTCAGGCGGTCTTATTCTGCGACTGTCACGTTCTTCCAGTACCGAAAGATCGATCATCCCACCCTGTCGGCCAAAAACAAAGGTAACAATGCATGATGATGTCAACTGGGGGCCGCCCTTCTAATCTCGAAGGGGGGAGGTTGACAGGGATCCGGAGTCAATCTTGCTTCCGCAAGGCACGCCCGCCGGGCTGGACGGCTGATTGGGTTAACAACCTCAAAGAAAATTGAACAAATGGAACCGCAAATTGCAGTAGATGAGCAGCCGTCCAACATCGAATGGCGAGGTAGTATTGGCTAATGCACGAGATGACCTACCTACTTACCCGAATTTGTGAACGGAAATACCTAGGAAATGTATATTAAGGCGAGATGCCGCGGACGTCAATTCAACGGGGCGGCGAAGCTCGACTAGATCTCTTTCCCTTCCTCCGCGTGAGGCTCTCTGTCGCTCGTTTCATCCATCCGGCCAAGATGGTTCGTCTGGAGCTCTCTCTTTTGCTCGGTGGTGCTGTGAGTGTTTTCGCAGCGTCCTATATCGAATACTCGACTGTGACGGGATATTTCTTGCAGGATGACGACTCCACTAACGCCACGACATTTGACTACGTAAGCACCAAAGTCTCCCACACTCACAACAGCATCCTCTTACGCCTCGTAGACCGCCACCAACTTTGGCCTCATCAACCAGAGCTACCCAACAGACCCTGCGAACGCGGCGTTCTTAACCCAGTGGCAGCGGTTTAGCCTGGTCATTTCGTCCCTCCAAGCCCACGCTCCCAAGAATGTGGACTATAAGCTTCTGTTCATGGGTCGCCATGGAGAAGGATTCCATAACGCTGCCGAATCCTACTTTGGCACCCCCGCTTGGAACTGCTACTGGTCCCTGCTGGAGGGCAACGAAACCACGGTCTGGGCTGACGCCCATCTGACTGAGGCTGGTATCGAACAAGCTCTGAAGGCCAATGCGTTTTGGCTGTCTCGCATTGAAGACGAGAAGATCCCCACGCCTGAACACTACTATACGTCGCCTCTGTATCGCTGCCTCTCCACGGCCAACCTGACTTTCTCCGGCCTTCCTCTCCCCGCCCGGCACCCTTTTCTTCCTACCATCAAGGCCAAGCTGAGAGAAGGCATCTCCGAGCACACCTGTGACCATCGCAGCAACAAGACCTACATTCACAATGCCTTCCCCACCTGGAAATTCGAGCCGGGTTTCCCCGAGTATGACCAGCTTTGGACCGGCGTGACGGCCGAGACTTCAGCGGCACAGGATTATCGGTCGAAGCAGCTGCTGGACGACGTCTTTTCCTCTGACCGCTCAACGTATCTCAGCTTCACTTCTCATTCGGGCGAAATTGCCTCGATCTTGCGTGTGTTGGGTCATCGAATCTTCCCCCTCAGCACCGGTGCCGTGATTCCGGTACTGGTCAAAGCCGAGACGGTCGACCTCAGCGCCGCAACCAGCACCGTGACTTCCGCCACCTGGACTCCGAGTCCTCACTGTACAGTTCCACCAGTGACCAGCATCAGCGGGGGGGCGAGTGGTGGGTGTGTCTGTCCTAATAGTGCGGCGCCTGTGACCACGACGCTGCCGCCGTATCCGGTTGAGACGTGAGAATAGAAAACAGACTGCAAGGGATTCGTGAATCCGAGAATATAATAATCTGGGGGAAGCGTAGCCATGGTAGTGATGATCAATGATGATAATGAGTCCACACTATTCGTGTGGCAACGTCACGTCTGTGTCAGTATCTGTCCATCCCTATATCGTCGCCAGACTGAAGATTACCAACGACAAAATGACTTACAGTAGGTAACGGCTTCCCATGTTTGTCTCCGGGATATCCCCTCCCAACCTCGACCATTAATGTCACGTGATAAATTCTAGGCCTAGTTGGGACTAGCCTCGGAAGAACAAGACCACAACGACTCCTTCGGTCAACGTTTGCCATTGCGGTATTCCCTTCTTCCCTCTCTTGCCCCAGATATGACACTTAATGGTTCTTTGGACTCGTTTTCCTGGATGGACAACGCATTCGCTACAATCTTCTGGCCATCATCCTCTTCGCTAATTGGGCGCACTGATCCTGACGATATTCGTGGTTGGCTTGAGGGAGGGGGAAAAAAAAGACATGCCTGGCACAGATGAAGCAAATGGTCAACAGGACCAGTCTAGGAAGAATGGCGGCAGAGAAGGAGATTGTCGAAGCTCAGATATTCGCTTCTACTCGACAGGGGAGTGGTTGAAGAATGTAAGGTTTATTGAGACCGAGCTTGAATGGCAAGAGGTACAGAAGCAGAGATTAAGGCTGAAGATGAGACGGACGACAGAAGCCACGAGGTCGTCGGGCACAACAAGATGGCAATCATCATTCCATTCGCACAAGATGCCAGTAAGGAATAGAACGTGACGGGCGTTCCATTCATTTGTTTGCGTAGAGACGCCAGGGGCAGATTCGAACAAATATCACAACATCGCCGTCGTAAAGTCCGTTGCTGGTTTAGGCGGCCCTGCCCCTTCGGGCATGGTGGAGGGCTGGGCTCCCCGCCGCTTTTGACGTCTCTATAAGAACCTTCTTCCTCTTCTCTCTTCTTTCAACCACCCTTCCCAAACGGCCCCCTTCCTCTCCTTTCTCCCACCTTTTGGCGTCGAACCATCCCTGCTGGCCCCTCCGAAACCCTCAATTGATGCCGGTGTGGATTCTGAAATCTTCCCGACTGCGCTACGGACTGACGGGTCTTATTGTTTTGCGTCACAACTATGCTCCGAGCCGTGGATTTTAGAGGGGACAAGCTCGGCTTCCCACCCAGGGGGCCAGCCTGAGCAGATGATTAACTCTTTCACACCGCCACGGTAGCGCAACGACGCGCAGATGGATGTGCGTGCAAGGAGGCACGATACCTGGGTGCCGCTGAAAGGACCGCCCCAATTCGCCTTTGGCTCAGGCGTACGCGGCAGTTGATGCTTGCGCCGGATGCATCAAGTCACGAAAATGTCTCACGCGCATTCGATCAGGAACCTACCTTGCTGGCTGTGACCCACCTATCTCATACCGGGCCAGCCAACCCTGAATTTTGCAATGCAACGGTGGCCTGAGTCTATCTCACTACGGCTGATCACACGGGATCCGTTTCCCCAATATTGTGAACGAGAGGGTAGGCCAAATCACACAATTGATTCGGTGACATGGTTATGCTACTCGATTCGAGGTTACGAGATGGGCTCCTCCCGCGACTCGAGCATGGGTAGGGAGCCGCAACTTACGTCGAAAGAGAACCCTCTTTCAGGATGCGGTCCCTCTTCTCGGGTATTTGAATGCACGATTAGTAAACGAGGATAGGGAGGCGAGCCGGACGAGCAGAGGACTAATGGAACCGAGTTTTGGCCGGTGGATCTAAATATTAGTATATTCTTCCACCTGCCGACCCGCGGCGTCAATGACCGGTTACTGCTCGAATTCGATTCTGCTGGTCAAGGATAGCAATGAAATTTGATGTGAAAGAGCGACTATCATTGGAAATCCTCAAGAATCCCAAGAGCCTCCTTCAAGTCCTTCGTCCATTGACGAACCGGCTTCCTCCCTTGTCTAAGCTCCTTGTAGGACGTCTTGAGGGGCTCTGGAAGTAGGTTGGCATCTAACAGCCCATCATCATCGATATACTCCTCCACATACCCAATCATTGCCATTGCAAAGGCACCTATGCGCTTCCCCGAATCGCGCGCATATAGACGGAGAAAGGCTTCCAGCAAGATATGAGACTTGGGGACAACAACTGGATCATGGTCCGACTTAAAGACACCCGATCCCCGGCCTGGCCGCCCGGGTGGGAGAACAGTCTGGTCGGACGCGAGGACGAAATGCGAGGGAAGCTCGAGTTTCTTCGGGGACAAGAAAGACTCGTCGAGCGGCGGCAGGAACCAAATAGTCTGAGATTGTGGATAGAGAGCCACGGTGACTTCCGAGTCTTTGATGTGGACGTGAAATGCTGGTGGCGGCGTGTGGCGCTCCTGCGAGCTTGAGGGGCAGACTTCCTGGTTTGGACATGGCGTGAGGCTCTCGAACTGGGTGAGAGTCTTCATGCCAACCCCCAACCGGTCGTCCGGAATGACAAAGTCAATCGACTTGCAGAGCATTAGCTCAGGATCTGGAATCTTCTTCATCAAGGGACACCTACGCCAATGATGGATGGTACGCCATGGACATTGAGAAGATAGTGGCCCCAGAGGACACAGGGAACCTGGTTTGAGTTGAGAGCCCGAGCAATGGATACCACGAACGATTCTGAAAGATCCGACATGTTTTCCTTTTGCTTTGGTCCAAAGTGTCAATGACTCGGAAGTTTAGGGGGGAGAAAAGCCCTAAACTAAGCTTCTCTTGCGAGCCATCGGTTAACACAGTATTTACCACAGCACAGCCAAGTTTGGTGTTGCATAGGCTTGTCACGTGTGCCAAGTCCTAATACGTTATGGAAAGCGCCCTTATCGCGACCAAAATGTCGGTTGCGGACAGTTTCACCTACTTTCATGTTTTACTTCCAGAACTGCGACTCCAAATCTGAGGGCAGGTGCTCTCCCATGTGGTCTATCTGGGCAAAGTCGTCTACCCTTCACGATAGTCTATATTGGCCCAGCGCCATATTTAGCAGGCATGTCCTCCAGGAAGGCCCAATAGCTGCTGGAACAATCCTCCGTTAAGCCCATTCGTGGACCTTTCAGTGGTTTAGCGACAAGCGCTAGCTTCTACTAAGTCGATCTAGACACAACAGTCGTCCTAAACAGCATTAGTGCAGATAAACTATCAAAGTTCAAGCATGTCACCCTACCATGGTATCAGTTTGGTAGCCTCACCAGAACATGTCAGCGTTTAGCGACAATGTGTCCGGCCCTTCCCACCATCATTCAATGCGGCGAGATGGAGGCGGTGACTAACCGGCCCTTCGCCAACCCTTGAGTCTACACACGGCCGCCCTACTACGCCACCATTCCTGAATACGCCGGGCCTGAGTTCGGATACGGAGAGCTGGATGCCCTTCGGGACAGAGAATTGCGTACCACAGAGAGGTGCCTAAACACCAATTGAGCCTAATTAGTTGTGAGAAGCATGTCCGGAGGATGCCGAGGTACCTCAAATCCCTAGTAAAATGGGGGGTATTCAGGTACCTTTCCATCCACCGTGCCTCCCTCGCAGAGTTGGCCATTCTTGGTGCTCTTTTGATGGCGTCCTTGAGGCCTTGTCGCACTCGATTTTGGCGTTATTGTGTGGTCAGAGTGTCTCTGTTGTCTAGAAAGCCTTTCTATTGCCCGTGAAGAACCACCCCTTCCTGCCTTCTGGCCTCATTGTCACTTCTGCTACCCTTCTGCTGTTTTTGACCTCGCTACCGAACCCCTTCAGGGCTTTCCTGATGCTCTATGGGCTTCTTGGGAGTCCTGAATAAATCCTTGCTCACTTGGCTGGTTGTATTTCGCAGTGTGAGTGCGCACTCTCTTGCCTCTACCTCTGTAGACGCCGGAATCTCCATTGGCGAGGCTCTCGGAAGAGGGCGATCGACGCGGTCGGGCTCTTTCAGGAGTGCGAATCGGTAGGCGCCGTGAGAGAGGAGTAATCTGAGGCGGCGGAGTTTCAGGCACCCGGGGTTCTTAAGGATGAATAGGAGTAGTTGGTCTTGCTCTTAAGGGATTTGAGGCAAGATCGATCCGAAAGGTAGACGTCATTTGAGCTTGTTATCGTCGCTCGTTAGAGAGTTCACTTTGACGTCCTTGACACTCTTCCTGACGCCCTAGGGCTTCCTTGGACGTTAAGCTGTACGCGCTAACAGGTTCGTGAGATGCATTTCGAACGATTCGTCGTCTCAGAACAGGATCGGACTGAGCGATGGATATTTGCTGCAGTTGGAGGTGTTGTTGACCGATCTTTGAGAGATTTTCTAAGATTTGCTCCCTGAAATTCGCGAATTTGTCGCTCTCCACGAGCTAGTTGAATGCTGGAAAGATAGCGCTCCTCAGGATTTTAACTGGTTCCTGATTTGAGCGAGCAGTAAAGCCCGTTGAGCGTCTTGATTCAGCCTCAGACCTTCCTGAGACGCCTCCAAAGGGTAGAAAGGTTTCCAAATACGCTCTGTAATTTTCCAATCCTGAGAGCCACCAACGAGGGTGTAGAAGAGCTTTTAGCAAAGGTAAATTTCCAAGAAAAGCACCGAGTAGACTATGATACCAAATTGGTAGAGAATCGGGCACTCGCAGATCTCGCTCAATTGCCCTCCTCTTATCATGGATTGATTATGTTCTGTCCATTCCTTCTCAAGCAAGGCGAGTGCCTCATTTGAGACCTTTATTCGTAGAGCTTTGAAGATGTCAGACTAAGCTAAACGAGGGTAGTGATGATGAGAGAGTGCTTCGTCATCCGGAAGATCAAGAGGGAGAGGCTCTACAACACCAGGAAAACCATATTCAAAGTGCAAATTGGTCGAAACAAGGTAAAGAGCTCGTAAATGGCAAAAGATATGTGAACGTCTCGATTTTGAAGTGTTCCCATCCGCGGCGCCATCCTTGCACAACTGGCCAGGGGAAGACCGGTGGTTTCAGTCACGTGATAAAACGTGATGGTATCACGTGCAAGGCTACTACAAGGTTCAAATGATGCCTAGTCACTGCCAAGGACGGCCTAGGCTAGTCTTCAACACACTTCTACATGTGTTCCTACTCGAGTACCTCGACAATTCGCCTCCCAGATTACATTTGCGGTCTCCCGAGGTTCATCATAGAGTCGGGCCCTCTGATCAATACGTCACCTACTGTTTTGAGATCTCTCGAAACACCGGTAACCGTTGGATGTGGCGTCCTTCTGTGGCATTTTGGCTGTCTTGGTCGATCAGTGGACAGACACCTATCACCGTTCTAGTCTCGCCAACTCGTCCCTCTGTTGAGCTATATACACCATGTCACTAAAGCCGTGTCCGAGGATGACTTATCAGATCCCATACAGTCACAGCACGCTCGTTCCTGGCTTATTACCCCATGTCCTCGACCGTCCAGCGCCATGCCTACTCGAATGCAGCTCGAAACAGCCGCCGCCGACGTTATCGGCATTCTCAAGGACGTCAGCGAATATTCCGATGCCAGGGTTGCCGTCATTGGTGGGCTAGCCCTCTGGAAATACATCCCTAATGGCAGAACTACCGAGGTATTTGATTCTCATATCCTCAACTGCCGCACGCCGAACTTATAGGATATTGACTTCATTGTCAACATCGGCAACGCGCCACAACGCGTCAAACAGAGGCTCCTGGCTCTTCCCAACTCCCCTTTCGTCCAGCAGGCCCAATTCTTCTACTACAAGACCCCCAGCGGACCCCACATCCAAATTGACATCACTCCGCAGTGGCAGGTCCGTACACCTCTTCCGGAGACACTCCTGGTTTGGGGGAGGAACCGGGGCGAAGGGAACGTTCCTGCGTGCTAACATTCGCTACTTAGTCCCCGTACATGCCCGCCACTGCCGCGAAGCTGAGAGACCTCACGGCAGGCGCTATCCCATACATCTCGGCGACCGATCTCGTCGTCTTCAAGATGAACTCCTGTGGCTTGCGGCCGCAAACATCCAAGAAACGTACCGATGCGGCTGATGCCCAGGCTCTGCTAGAGAAGCTCACTGTGCAAGCCTCGCTCAAACTCACGAATGCTCAGAAAGCCATTGTCGAGCCCAGCGTCGATGATGTAGTCGCACACGGCACGAAGACCATGATGTGGTGGAGGGAGCACCTCGGTCTGCCCACTAGCCCGTGATTGCGATCGCTAGTCGTTTTGTTGGAGATGGTTCTCGATTCTCCCGCTGCTTGTGTCTGCTTTTGTATTGGGACTGAATTTGGTATCTACGAGTGTAAGAGGGCGTTGGGTGACATAGCTATTGATATAGCTATGTCCATTAGATGGGAGGATATTGTTCATGCCACGATGGTGTCTACCTCCTATTTGCATTCAGGTCCCTGGCCCTGTGTTCTAAGATGGGCTCCAGTCGAATCAGAGACAGGATTTCGTATCCGGTCGGCCAGAGAGCGGCGTACTTGTCCGCGTGCCTCCGCTCCGCCTCAGGTGTTGCAGGCCTACAATCCCCATCCACTGGGGATCCTACGCATTCCATATACTCTCGCGATTCCGCATATTCCGTGTGTATATCATATCAGCTACCTTTCGCTCAAACCTCAACAGTCTTCTTCCCGTCAAAATCCTCAGCCCGAGTAAAGTCATATCCTTCTAATTCGCAAGCAGCCTCCACGGTCCAGCATCAACCCTCCTGCTCAACCGTAAAATCGCAATTGTAATGAGTATGTCCAAACGCCCAAACTTTGGCTTTGTCACTCGTGAAACACGCCTCTCCGGATAATTCTGTCTCACAGCATGACTCGGCTCGATCGTATGAACATCCAGCGATGGGCTCCAGGGACGAGGAGCACAGCACGGAACTTGTTGAGCTGTAAGGTTAAGAAGGAAAGAGAGTCGTCCTTGTGAGATGCAAAGTTGCCCATATCGCCAAACAGCACCAGGTAGGGACGATCTTGAAGACATCGTGGCTTTGAGGACTTCTAAGTGCAGGTCAGAGAGAATCAAGACCACCACAGAGAGGGAAGACTGGTTCCGTGTCAAAGCTACCAATAAAGCTGTCTCAGTCACGTCACGACAAATCCGCTCATTGCGACTTTGAAGCAGAAATCTTTGGTGTAGGGTGCGATTGTATGAGGACGACCTAACCTACAAAAGGGTGCGGAGGATGTTTAAAGCGGCACGGTCGAATAGGCGTGGATTCTCCCATTCGGTTACAATTGCTCCGTGCGTTTGGCTCTGAGCGTTCCGTGGCTTGCGAACCTGAGAAGCTGCTTGTGTCAAATAGGGACCGCAATATCTCTTGTCGGTTCAATATCCATCTCCCTTCTGTCCACGATTCACTCTCATTTATCTCGTGGACACGATGTTCAGATTGGGCCGCCGCAGCTTGGGCCCGACTTTGAAGGCTGTCAGAGTTGAGTGCAACGGTCGAAACATCCCAGATCTCGTCGACTAACTGCAGATCAAAGGATACCCCTTCGCGGAGTTCAATCCAACAAAGGAGGAACCTTAGCATTCACGAATACCTGTCGGCCAGACTCCTCAAATCGGTACGATGCGATTGTGACTTTGATTCGACTATGACACCTCTAACGAACGGCAGTACGGTGTCGGCGTGCCCAATGGGGAGGTCGCCCAAACTCCAGAAGAGGCCGAGGCGATTGCGACGAAGATTGGTATGAGCCAGAACTATGATAGCAAAGAGATATTGGACCAGGCTGATTTTTCTCAGACGGAGATGATATGGTCATCAAAGCACAGGTGCTCGCCGGTGGCCGAGGCAAAGGAACTTTCGACAATGGGCTGAAAGGTGGCGTCCGAGTGATCTACTCGTATGTGGAACCTCACCACCGAGACCTGTTGTCGCTGACACTCAGATAGTCCTACGGAAGCGAAGATGTTTGCGGGTCAAATGATCGGACACAAGCTCATCACCAAACAAACCGGGGCTCGAGGCCGGATCTGCAACTCTGTCTACATCTGCGAACGTAAATTTGCCCGTCGAGAATTCTACCTGGCCATTCTCATGGACCGTTCTACACAATCCCCCGTCATAGTCGCTTCCTCCCAAGGTGGCATGGACATTGAGACCGTGGCCAAAGAGACGCCTGATGCCATCATCACCACCACCATTGACATCAACGTGGGCGTAACCGATGAGATTGCGAGGAATATTGCGACCGATCTGGGTTTCAGTGAACAATGCATTGAAGATGCCAAGAATACCATCCAGAAATTGTACCAGGTCTTCATCGAAAAGGACGCCACTCAGATCGAAATCAACCCTCTGAGTGAGACCAGCGATCATCAAGTGTTGGCCATGGATGCCAAGTTGGGCTTCGACGATAACGCCGAGTTCCGACAGAAGGAAATCTTCAGTTGGAGAGACACCTCCCAGGAAGATCCCGACGAAGTCAAGGCTGCAGAGTATGTGTGATGGGTCTCTGCATCGCCAATCCCATGCTGACCGGATTCCTAGGTACGGTCTCAACTTCATCAAACTCGACGGGGACATTGGCTGTCTCGTCAACGGGGCTGGTCTGGCCATGGCGACGATGGACATTATCAAATTGAACGGCGGTGCACCGGCCAACTTCTTGGATGTCGGTGGGGGCGCAACCCCCGAGGCCATCAAGTCGGCATTTGATTTGATCACCAACGATCCCAAAGTGACGGCAATTTTTGTCAACATCTTCGGTGGTATCGTCCGATGTGACGCCATTGCTCAAGGATTGATCAACGTGGTACAACAGATGAACTTGAGGTTGCCCATTGTGTGTCGATTGCAAGGCACCAATATGGAAAAGGCCGCTGAGTTGGTGAGTGAACCTTCCCTTTCTTTCTTCCCCCGGTTCTATCGATGTCGTTAATCTGGGGACAACAGGTCAACAACTCGGGACTCAAGATCTTTTCTATTACGGATCTCCAAGAAGCCGCAGTAAAGGCTGTAGATTTTTCCAAGATTGTCAAGATGGCGAGAGACATCGACGTGGGTGTGGAGTTTTCCCTTGGTATCTAAGCCCCCAGTTGGCTTCGGCGGTCGAAATGGTTGATTGGTCACCCAGGGTCGCCCATTTAGCAGATTTTTGTACTCAATTCAGCAAATGCACAACATACCGTTTCGCAATTCGACATTGGTGTATTAGGACATGGATCGATTTTTCTTTTTTGTCTTTGTCATTGCAGATATCTCTGACACAGCACGTATTCCAGATGCCTCACCCGGTCACCTCCTCATGTCTTTTTATTTCCCTCGGTTCTTTCCGACCTCGTCTTTTTCTCGGTCTGTTCCGATCCATTCTCTCTTCACGGCTTGTGATGGATTTAGTTCCCGGCTTTGCCACCTCGGGACACTCGGATCTACCAATCACATTCTCCTATTCCACCTTTTCTTCAACCCAAAAAAAATTAAATAAAAAATTCACTGGCCCCCGGAACGCCAAAAAAGGAACCGAAATGGACAATGTGGACGTACGGGGATTTGAACCCCGGACCTTTCACAAATCACATTGGATGATGCGAAGCGAAAATCATACCCCTAGACCATGCGCTATAAGCAGGCTTGTCAGCTCTGAAACAATTAATTCGACGGGATTCCCCCTTACCCCAACACACTGTCAGCGTGCAATTTTGTCAATTTTTGGACAAGTTCAATACATATCTCACTTATTAACCCGATATCTTAGGATAGCGTAATCGCCTCCCCGTCTCATTCCCGTGCTGTCCGTGATGTGGACCCGAAAACAAGGATCTGACACCATACTATCCAACCAACTGCCGGTAAATCTTGCTCGCTAAAGACGGAAACACGGCAATTTGCATACAAATCCCCACCGTCGTCATTTACTCTTTTCTTTCACAGTTGACCACGACCAGACCGGAGGAACGATAGCATAAGCAGTGCTTCACCTCCAAGATGGAGACCTTCTGGTTCTCTTCCGTCTCTACCGATCTTTTGGGTTGTTGCAGTCTCCCCTTATCCATGGATTGTTGACCAGATCATGGACGGTGTTCGTGCCGTCGAACCTCCACGAACCCTGGATGAAGCACACGACAAACTCGTGTTTACCGAAGCTCCATGAATATGATATAATCAGTACAACCCGGAAGAGAGGGTTCACTCACTATGCTTTCAGAGAAACGTTCAACTCCTCCCGTTCCCCCTCAACACTATAAATCCATGATGCTTCTCCCTCGTACCGTCCAACCGCTCTATCAGGAGGATTACATGGAAGCTGGAGCGAGAGCGTCGCACAGTCAAGATGGCTGGCGGACGCCCACCATCGAAGATCTAGAACATCCTGCCAATCGGTCCAAGGTGCAGGCATACGTGGAGTATGAATATCCTTCAAGCAGACGAAACGAAGGGTCGCAAAGACCGATAATGCCTCAACCGGATCAGCAAGATGAAAAGGGACCGAATCTCGACGAAGACACATTCGACGACAAACCGAAGCATTTGACTTGGAAACAGAGGATGAAGCACGTCACATGGGCTTGGTTCACTCTTACCATGGCGACAGGAGGAATCGCCAATGTCATTCATACCGGTAACCAGTCTCCTCCCTTCCGAGTTTCTTTTTGGTTCTAACCACCGACCCAAACAGTCCCCTACCGCTTCGACGGCCTGCGTATCATCGGCATCATTTTCTTCCTCATGAACATCCTCTTCTATCTCATCATCTGGGCCATGCTGATCACCCGCTTCACTCTGTACCCCTGGACGTTCCGCGCCAGCTTCACCCACCCCACCGAATCACTATTCGTCCCCGCCTTCGCCGTCTCCTTCGGCACCATCCTCATCAACATCGTCGAATACGGATTTGGGCGGGTCGGCGCCTGGCTGAACCGCGCCGTGCTGATTCTGTTCTGGTTCGACGCCGCTCTAGCCGTTATTCTGAGCATCATCATCTACTTGATCCTGTGGTCCACACAATCTTTCACCATCGCGCGTATGACCCCCATCTGGATCTTTCCCGCTTATCCGCTCCTGATTATCGGCCCGCACGCAGCAAACCTTTCCTCACAAGTCCTGACCTCTAACCAAGCAATCCGCGTGCTTGTCGGTGGCTTTACCATACAGGGCATCGGCTTCCTGGTCTCCTTGACCATCTACTCCGCCTTCGTCTACCGGCTGATGACGCAGAAGTTGCCCGCCGAACCGTTGAGGCCCGGCATGTTCGTCTCCGTGGGTCCCTCCGCCTTCACTGTCTCCGGCACCGTAGGCATGGCCCGCAACTTGCAGCGGGTCATCGCCTGGGCTCCCACCGCCACGTTCATGGATGTCCCCGGCGTACTTGCCACACAGATCTTGCGACTCGTTGCCAACTGGATGTCCCTCTGGCTGTGGGGGTTGGCATGGTGGTTCTTTTTTGTCTCTTTGCTGTCGAATATCGACTGCCTGCGCGAAAACCATCATATGCCGTTCGCCATGACGTGGTTCAGCTTCATTTTCCCGCAGACAGCATTGACGACGGCAACGTTCGCGATCGCAGAGGCCTTTGACGTCGACGCCATACGCATTATCGGCTGTGTCATGACCTGCTTGCTGGTGTTGGTGTGGTTTCTTGTCGTGGGATTCATGATCAGAGCGGTGATTACGAAGCAGATTCTCTGGCCGGAAAAGGGGGAGGATAAGACGGAAGGCGGGTTCAAGGCTAGAACGGAAGATCAGATTTCCATCCATTCGAGACATTCTCATCATGCTACGACTACTACGAATCGCGCTACTGCTAGCCACGGCCACGGCGAAGGTCATGTTGATGCAGCAGCGAGGAATGTCTGAGATTCAGCTGGCACGGTAGATTTTCGCCGATGAATGGAGTTTGTTCTTTCTATCTTTTCCAGTCTGATGCTCATATCACCAGTTATATCAAGTTACAATTCCGCTGCCGTATTCTCTATCTTTCCTCTTTGAAGGCGCAGCAAAGATGGCAGATCTAGCCCAGCAAAAGTCCGCAACATTGAATTGAATCACAGCTTTGATGACTGATGACCTAGCTGATTATTTCACGTCCGCGAAAGCGTCGAAATTCCGGTCACTTTCTAGCGTGATGGGAACATGGCGCCTGAGTAGCAGCCTTGCCGGATACAAATATGAATACAATAATAGATATCTATACCTTTCCAACCTGACCAGAGACAAGATGTCACACAGGATGGTCTCGGTGTTGGGATGATTCAACTCCCTCTCCAACTTTGTTCTTTATCGTTTTCCCTTTTTCTTCCCATTCACACATTTAGATTCCTAACGGAGCGATTGCGACGGAATTCAATAAATTCTATGTCGTTTCTCGCTTGGAAACGATAGGAACTCTCGAAGACCTTGACTTTGACGAAGGCGGGGGGGAGAAGAAAAGGAATTTTGCGATAGAGAGATATCAGTGAGAGATATCAGTGCTGGAGAATTGTTGACGGATTGAATCATGCAACAGCAGATTTCTTGATTCATTCAATAGGGATTTCTCCATGTCCCAGTTCAAAGATATCTCCACGGGAATAAGGTGTGTTGAGTGGGCGTGATGCAATTGAACAGAAGTCCTTGGGAAATATCGCGAAAGACAAGTCCCGTAAGACCCTCGAGGGCCAAAATAGTAGTATGCAAAACGAGAACAATTTCGTTGCCCTCAAGTCTCAGAGATTCAAGAAACATTGGCAGCAGTTCAATAAAAACCCTCATCTACCAAGTCTGCTACAAGATCGATTCTCTTGAGCACGGTAACCGTTGAGAGTGAATTGGGATCCAAAGGAAAGAAGTACAATAGGCCGCTTCCGTTTCAGTTGCAATTCGAAGGTGGGCCTGTACGTATAATCTCCCAAGGAGCATTGGTCTGGAAATCGTGATCGTAACGCACATTTAGGGCCTAGAGAGAGAACTGAAATAGACAGGGTGATGTGACAGTAGAGCTGCTTGATTAGACAAAATCTGGATTGCGACTTTGGATGAATTTGTTGTAACGAAGGGAACTGGGTAGGTCTAGTCAATTTCCCCGCAGAACAATCCTCCAATCGGTTGAGTACTGAGTTCTCGATTAACGAGCTCTTGAGCATCGCGTAACTGGCAATGTGCAAGCACGCAATCGACAACACCGGGATGTCGGGTTGAAAGATGATGGCTCTGGGGTATATTACCCCTCCTGGAGCGGTAGATGGTAGACAGGATCTGACGACCTGATTTCCAGAATTTTGGTGTTACCCCATCGGATCTGAGGTGACAAAGCGAATTTGCGTATCCAACATCATCTCTGCGTAAACGATCGAGTGAGAGAATCAGATCTTCTTCAACATGTCCGCGATCCAGAAGAATATCGAGAACGCATCGGAGAAATATTCATCATCCTTCACTAAAGGGCATCTTGCACTTCCACCAGCAAGGAAATATCTTGTTGTAACATGCATGGATGCTCGAATTGACCCGGCCCAAGCATTTGGGATCGAATTAGGCGATGCCCATGTCATCCGAAACGTGAGGAAAAGGATCTTCTCGTCGTTACAATCTGGGAAAAAGCGGGGACGGAGGTTCGATGCTAACACCTCATCACAGGCGGGTGCCTCTGGCCGCGACGCATTGCGCAGCATTATTATTTCCGAGCAGCTCCTCGGCACTCAGGAAATAGTCCTTGTCAAGCACACGGGATGCGGGATGCTGACTTTCAAGAATGAAGATGCCTATGGCATAGTCGAAAAGAATCTGGGGTACTGACTAACCTTGGAAGGGTTCTACGAAATGTTTCACTCACGAATGACAGGTCAGATGCAGTTGCCGAGCTCAACGCTCGAGGATTAGATTTTCTCCCATTTCCAGATCTGGAGCGGGCTGTTGAGGATGATGTGGAGTACCTTCAAGATACCAAACTCATCCCAGACAGCGTGGCCATTAGTGGTTGGGTTTATGAAGTCGAAAATGGAAAGACTCGGAGAGTGGTGTAATATTTGTTCATTTCACGAAGAAATGATCACGACGACGGCGCCGAGGTCTGGGGATAGATGATTGCTCAAACCTTTGTTGGAAATTGACGGAGGTTCGCCTTGGATCCAGAATTAGTCTCGGATTGCGACCATCAATCGAATCCCAAACAAGGTCCTTTGTTGCTTCCTAGCATCCTGTTTCTGCAGCCCACGAGATCTGCTGATAGCATGCGCTTGATTTAACAAGAAAGTCGATTTTTGCCGTATCCAGACACTTTCGAACAAAATGAGTCTTGTCTTGATTTTCTGACATGAAGAGTACGGCCGCTACATCAAGCCCAATGGGGAAGTGTGGACGAGGACGGCTCAACTATTTCTCCGCCTCGTGTCAGGTGGGAGAAGTCAGGCTCCTGGCTCCCAATCAGCGAACACGCAGCCTCGCGATATCCCTGGCTTGTCTCGACGCGGCACCGAATTCGCAAGACAACCCTTTTTGCATCGATATGCGCGTAACCAACAATTAGATGTTGATCATCTGAAGACGGAGTTTAGAAGGTTCAGCAGAAAACTTGCGTATGGCGACGAACGAAAATATACCTAGTGCGGTGGGCTGTTGAGCACAGGCAACGCACGCATTCTAGGCGCTAAGATTATCAGGATGAGTTGGAGCGATAAGTCGGCAACGGAATTTCGTCCAGATAAGTGTTCCATCCCGATCATGGCGTGAACTATACCTGATATTGACACGCCCAGCATGCTGCGCCATCAAACCAAGACGGTCCAGAACTCGGCATTTGCGTCGTCCAAGATTTGAGATCCTTTGTGGAACCTGGGTAGCTTGCATCATAGATATTTTTGCTGACTTCAAAATGAATTATTTCCGGTCGACACATTCCCTATAGCACATAACATGCCGCTTGGACGTTGAAGACACTCGTTTTCGTCTCCACCTAACCGAAATGGCGGAAAAGCACGACGGTGAACATGCTACGCCCGGGACAATGTCTCAGAATATCTCAGTCGCTGGTGGCGAGAAAAATTTAGAAGCAGCTCCGGGAAATGGCGACGGCTCGACAATCACTCCTCTCGAAGCTGAGGCTAGCATTGAGAGATCTAACTCGATGACACAACGAGATGGACGAGAGAAATTGGATGAACCGCCTGCCTTGCCATTCAACCTCCGAGATCACAAGCTTTCATTATCAATCTTCGCCTTATTGGCGCTCGCAGAATGTTGCTTCATTCCCATCAGTCTTTACTATGGGCTGAGCAAAGGTACCAACATGAGGTCAGGTAAGTTGTCTCGAGGTTGATGGGGTCCATGGAATGGCACCGCATTTTGACCGTGGAAAAGGAATCTATTTCGCCATCATCACAAGCTTGTTCGGCTTTGTTAGCGGATACGAATTCGGTATTCGAGGCTGGCGACTGATCCGACCGACCGACGAATATCGACCATTGTTCGGCAGTCCCCGATTTTGGGGGTTTGACAGCACCCAATATGTGATGATGATTCCATTCACGGTCATGACGATTATTTTGATCATATTCAGCATCCCTCATTACCCTTCCGTCAAAGCTTTGTCGCTTCCCATGCCGGTTGGTATGATCAACCTCGGTGTCATGTTTGTCATGAATGGCTGGGCCGCTCAGCATGGCTGGAGGTTGATGTACTTCCGACTCAGCTCACACGTAAAAAATTCCATTTGTCCTCCACTTACATTTTGCTTGATGGAAGACGTGTGCGCTGTCGACGGCAAAGGGGGGAAGAAATATCGACAAGCAGCGCTAGCAAGATATAATGTATCACCACGATTCAGAGCTCTGTTGATGCAACTGCTGTGGTTTTGGTCCATCCCGGCCATTCTCGTCGGTGCAGGTTTGATCGTGGTAATCTATCTGTGCAGCGATGATGTTGCCTACGGAGTGGGTTGGGGAGCCCCATCAGTGTGGGTGGGAATCTGGATACTGATCACGGTCATATGGGTCCAACGCGCCTTGCGGATCGAAAAAGGGACCTGGAAATTAGACCAGGCTGGGTCGGCCTGAGAGTTCGAATGTCCAGAAGGTTCCATAGAGAGAACTTCATGAGTCACCACCGGTTGCCGTAGTTTTCGATGTCGCCGTTCGTTCGTAGCCGCCCGGATCGACTTGTTGGATCCATTCCAGTGCCCGTTTGACGTACTTGTTTTCCTTTGCTTCGGCGGCGGAATTTGTCGGCGACATGGGTTGCATGACGGATTCGACAACTTCAATGGTAAGAGCACGAGCCTCGCCCGCCTTCTTGAGACACAGCTCGAGATCTCCCAAATACATGCCTTCGGCGGATTCGTCAATGAGCTCCGAAATATGCCGATTCCGTTTCAGCAAGGTGTCAAGCTGAGCATGATGGCTGGAAGACGTCTGGGCAGCGGCATCCATTTTCTCCAGTCTTTGCTTGATGACGACGTGAATGCTTTGGGGAATGCGGTTCAAGACTTTGAGCGCCTGTTCCTTGACCCCAGCCGAGATGGCCGCTCGATCATTCGGTTCAGTCTTCTCGTTGGACTCGTGCTCGGTATCATCATCACTGAGAGCATCACCAAACAGGTCCTCGTCGTCAACAACTTCCTCCGGGTCCCACTCTTCCAACTCCTTGACGGCATCCTTCATCAGCTCGAGCCATTGTTTTGACTGGCGGACCACATAGCCCGGTACACCTTCATTTGCCAGGGGGGTCAACTTGTCACAATCATCCCACACGCGTCCAGTCGCCTCTGTGAACGCTTTTTTCTCCGATTCCAGGACTGCTGACTGCGGCTCCTCCGCCTGACTTCGTATCTCCACAAGTCGCAACAGGGTTGGCATATCTCGAAGTGCTGCAGCAACAAGAGAGCGACATTCCGAAGAGAACGAAGGAGAGAACTGTTCGGGTGTCGTAAGAAGGGCCGCCGTCACCAAAGACGTGAGGATCGATTCATTAAGCGGGAGGAGACAGGTCGTGACGGCGCTCGGTGTGAAGGGCGTGGTGATGGCTAACAGGGACAGCTTTGTCACCTGCGATCTCAATGCTGTCACCGCGGCGTTCAGAAGAACGAGCGGAGATGGCGAGGCAGGGTTCGTTGGAGGCAACTCAACAGAGGCATTTGGAGCCAGCGACGAGGCGAATCGCTCGCATAGAACGATGGACGTTTGGAGGGTAGTAGCCAACGATCCGGGTGCTGGAGGGGTCATTTGGCCAATTCTACATTATCTGGGAGAACAAAGCAGTGCTGAAGATGTTGTCAAAGAGGCCTTTCGGTCATGGAGTGGCAATTTCTCGTGAGTAGCTTAAGCTGGACAATTTTATATAACTCCAATTCATAGACGCACATATCTCCGGGAAAACTTCGGACAACCAAAAGATGAAGAGACTTCTTCACCCTGCCCCTGTGCTCCCCTTGCCGCACCGCCATCGGATCCAATCCGTGGACCATGTGGCCGGGGGCACCTACTCGATAGAAATCGATATCGAGATGGTCTATGGATCGGATCCAGTCTGTAGACCACCTAGACAAGCCCTAATGATCAAACTCGAGATAGCGTTCACGGGTGAGCCTCGATATCGACATGGTTCACGGATTGGATCCGATGGAATATCACGAGCCATCGGATCCGATCCATGGACCATGTCCCGGGGGTGATATTTAGATAGCCCGCTTTTCTCCCAAGATGATATGTCAAACTTCTCTTCATTGAAAGAATGCTCTGATCGAATTCGGTCAGAGGGCGGCAGTGAGCCTGTCTATATCTATATCTTACGAGTGTACGTCATCACTGTTGCCTGTCAATGGTGATACGGTCTGGTGAGCGAATGTTGCAAAATAACCCTGTTAGTCGTGAACAATACTGTAGGCCATCAATTGTTCAACACCATGCTTTGTGTGGGAACGCCATTATACATAAGAAACAGGTGCTTCAAACCTTCTCTCACTAAAGGTATTAGAAAATAAAGAGTTTCATCATTAATCTTTACATAACACATCCGCTCGGAAGTTAAGAATATAAACCACCCCTGATTGGCACCCGATCCCAATGAAATTTCCTTTGACTGTAGATGCCACCGGTCGATATTCTGGCGGGACCCATAGTAAATTACTACTATCCCAAGTAATCCATGTCCTTTTACTGTCTATACCACATCCTATCCATTGGGCATGGCCGGACTGTAGAGTTTGTTTTACACCTAAAGTCCCTGAATCTGTTATAAGATTCGAGCTATCAGGACTAAAGGAGACGTTTTTAGTGTAGCCCTCGAGCCTCTGTAGACACTTCCCGGTGCTGACGTCCCATAGTCGTACAGTGCAGTCCAAAGAGCCCGAGGCCAGCTGCCGCCCGTCGGAGGAGAACACCACTGAATTGACCGAGTATTCATGGCCCTTGAACGTCTGTAGACATTTCCCGGTGCTGACGTCCCATAGCCGTATAGTGCCGTCGTCAGAGC